CAATCTAAGTGAGTACCATCCCATCAGCTGCTAGCACAGCTACAGAAAGCAGCTGGGAGAAAGGGGAAGAAGCTGACTTGCTGAGTCTTCTGGCTTTCATCTCTCTCTCCTGTGCTGGATGCTTCCTGCCCTTGAACATCAGGCTCCAGGTTCTTCGGCCTTTGGGCTCTTGGACTTACACCAGTGGTTTGCTGCAGACTCTCAGGCCTTTGACCCACAGGCTGAAGGCTGCAATGTCAGCTTCCCTGCTTTTGAGCTTTGGGACTCCGAGTGAGCCACTACTGGGTTCCTAACTCCTAAGCTTGAAGGCAGCCTATTGCGGGATTTCACTTTGTGATCGTGTGAATCAATTCTCCTTAATAAACTCCCTTTCATATATACATATATTCTATTAGTTCTGTCCCTCTGGAGAACTCTGACCAATATACCAGGTCCCTGGAAGAATGCTTGGGTGAGGGTGGCAGCAGATGCCCTGTGACCCTGCTGCTAGGGGGCAGGGTTGTTTTCAGTGGCAGCAACCATGGGCAGGTGGTTGGGGAGTGCATGCTTTGGTCCTAAGTGGAAGATGTGCATGAGGTAACCTGTCCTTAGTTTGCTTGTAAATGTGTGGTGGCCAACTGCTGGGGGTGGGCAGTGTCACAGCCAATGGCTTACACTTTGGGCCTGGCAGTAGAATTGGGTGGAGGATGTCAACGGGGGACCCAGGATATGGAGATGCAGAGGCTTTTGGGCCTAATGACAGGTTTCAGTCTGCTGAGGGATGGACCCTCAAAATGGAACCTTGTAGTAGCTGCTTAGGATTTGCCAGGGGTGGTGTGTGCGGGACCCAGCGTGAGCTCCCCTCGTGGAGCAGTAGAGTTGTAGGGTCTTCAGGCAGCTTCCTATGTTAGTTTTAAGGTCCTCAAGGGTCGAGGAGATATCTCATGGTTAGGATTGTAAGAATCTGCAGTGGGAATGTGGACTGCTGGGGATCTCTCACTTACCCTTTCCCCACATTGGGGAGCCTCTCTGGGCTCCCAGCTAGTCATGGCTGAGCAGGCTGCCTCACTTCTCTCTCTTTGCCTTAGGTGTTTCCGGTCACTTTTCTGTTGAATTCCTGTGTTCTCTTTTAGATGATCTATTTTAAGTGTGATTATCTTCTTGCTATTTTTGTTCTTCTTTGTAGAAAACACAAGTACCAGACGCCTCTAGTTAGCTATCTTGAAGCCCCTCCACTGGGTTTGAATTTTTTTTAAGTTATTGGGGTGTGTGGCTGTGTGTGCGTGTGCACGTGTGCACTATTGTAAATGTGGTCTTCTTTTCAATTACATCCTCCAAATGGTTCTTCTGTGAATTGGTTTTACATCATTTTATTTACTGAATCCCTAATAGTTTATGGTAGTTCTGTTTTCTTCAGTTGTCCAGGTATATAGTCATATTAACCTCCTTTCTAATTATTATATGTAGAACCCTAGTTTTAATTGTAAAACCTAAGCACAGTAACACAGATTCTGATGTAACATGATTAGTGGTTTGAAAGTGGTCTTCAAATCCACTTTCTTAAACCTTTCCTAGGAGGCAAGGAAAAGGGGTCATGGAAGAGAGAAAAAGCAGAGAGACAGAGAAATGTGAGATAATTGCATGACAGAGGGACAGGACTGGGTCCCTACATCTCAGTGCTTGCCCAGCCTAAATTTTCTCAAATAGGCATGTGAAATAGACAGGTGATGTTTTACAATAAGGCTTTTGAAGCTCTTGAAATTCTCAGCCAGGTTACAAAGTCCAGAATCAATCCCACATGTATTTATGCTGAGGCACACAAGTGCCACCAAGTGGTGCCAAATGGCAGCCATGACTCAGCTGAGTATGAATTACTCAGCTGGAGCCCACAACTCCTGCCTTGCAAGCTGACTCCATTGGCTTGTCTCACTCAGTCAATTAAATTCACAATTATGGAGTCCCACATTTTATACAATTGCATTTGAAAACAGACTTTTTTCATGGACCAACTATTGCAAATAACAATGTTTTCAAGAAGAAAATAATCCCCACAGACCAAATTTATACAAATAACTAACTGGGAAAGAGGAAGGAAAAAACAGGAAGAGAAATGGAATTAGAGGATGAAATATAGGAGTTTTAAGCCATAAGCATTATGCATCTTCAAAAATCTGAAATAAGTACAAAATATCAACATTTTATGAATTCTAATATTAGATGCTTGTACATTTCTTTAGGTTATTGTAGATACATTTTATTGAAGTATAATTTACATAAGTCAAACGCATAAATGTCAAGTTAAATTTTACGTGAAGTTTTATGTATGTATACACTCATGTAATCAATACCCAGGTCAAGATACTTTCAGACTCCAGAAAGATTCTTATTTCCCTCACTTCAGTCTAGACCTTTCTCCCAAAAAGTAGCCACTGTTCAGATTATCTATTTACTATTGGTTGGTTTTTCCTAAACTTATATAATGGAATCATACAGAATTACTTGTGTCTGGCTTATTTTGCTCAACATTATTTTGATGAATATACTTCGTGTTGTTGCAAGTTGCTCTTTTTCATTTATGCATAGCATTCATTTCAATGAATGTGCCAGAATTTATCCATCCCACTGCCAATGACTGTCTTCAGTTTGAATACTCAAAGCCAAAGTAGTGAAGAAACACACTACTAAATCAGAAAAAGAAGTCAGGATTCTAAATATATACTTTTTTTTAACTTTATGCTTTCTGCCTAGACACATCAGTAACAGGATACCAGTGGAAATTTCTCAGAAATATAGTTGGAGGGAGAATGTTATTTTAGATAGTGATATGTTTGCCCCTTCAAATTCACTCTCTTTCCTTCTCCACCAAGCTCTCAGCCAGAAAGTTTACTTACATTGATAGATTATAATCAACAGCTCCCATATTTGCAGGCTTCCACTTGGAGTCGGCAAACAGAAAGCCCAGTGAGGCGAATTAGATCAGGGTATTCATTCATTCCCTAGCTTCTTTCTGAGACGGCTTAAGGCCCACTATGTGCTTTGAAGGAAGTCACAGCTCTTCTTGAGGTAGCTTGCTCTACAGCAGCAGTCTCCAACCTTTTTGGCACCAGGAACCAGTTTTGTGGAAGACAGTATTTCCATGGACTGGGGCCAGGGAATGGTTTTGGGATGAAACTCTTCCATCTCAGATCATCAGATGTTAGATTATCATGAGTGCGCAACCTAGATCCCTCACATATGCAGTTCACAATAGGGTTCGTGCTCCTATGAGAATCTAACACCACTGCTGATCTGACAGGAGGCAGAGCTCAGGCAGTAATGCTTGCTTGCCTGCCGCTCACCTCCTGCTGTGCAGCCCGGTTCCTAACGGTTCCTAATAGGCTAAGGTATCCAGTCAGTGGCCCGCAGGTTGGGGACCCCTGCTCTACAGGATTCTGCTTCCAGGTCCTAGTGACTTCTCTTGGTCTTTTGGGCCCAGAAGTGGAAATAGCTCTGCTGATGCTAAGGGTTTCTGCATTACTGTGTGTTGGTCCCTGACATTGCATACACTTTTGTAATTAATCCTTTGTAAATCACCCTCTTTGATGTATCCTAATTTGAGTGTGCCCAACTTTGTGGTTGGGACTTGACTGGTACAAATATTTTAAATGTCTTTTGCTAAGTGCTAAGTCAAAAGAAGGAAAAGTTGTATTCTCTTTCACACACACGACACACACACACACTTCATATACCCTGTGGCTGAAAGGCATAGTGGCAGAGGCAGTAACGGGCTCGCAGTTCCCCCATTGCCCACATCCTGAAAAGCATGTGGGCATTAAGGAGGTTGTTCTGAGAAAGGAAGCAGCCCCTCTCCTTGGGTCGTGAAGCTTTTTAGTTGCATGAGTGAGGCACTAGCCCCTCTCCTGGCATGCTCATGGTCTAGTGTCCAAGCCTAGTGCTCCAGCTTTGTGATAGGGTGACACTTGGCTTCAGCACTACTCTCCTTTTTTGGCTTTCACATTTGGGAGTGTCCTGAGTTCTCCCCGCAAAATCAAAGGCTAGCATTCAAGACTTATAATTGCAGGGGCCGGATGTGGTCAGCCACCCAATGGCCTGCAGCCTGGATCCACTGAAGCAGGTTTTCATTGAGCAATTTAGTTCCCAAATAGTTTGCAAGTGGCAACTTGAGCTCTGAGTGGCCGGCCTGCACAGGTGATCATTCCTTAGCTCTCAAATTCATTTTATTCTTCCACCATTATAAAACCCAGTATGAAGACTTAAATATGTTTTATATAAAATTAAAACATTCTGAACATAATCAATTAATGCTAAATTACGTTAAAACCTTAAGTGTGCAGATCTTGAACAAGGCTCCTTTATCTGCTTAGCAGAAGCATATCCTAAGATTTCAAGTCATTTAAAAAAATACTGTTACCATTTATAATTATGCATGTGTGATTGATAAGTTTCTGCAAAATAATGGAAAATGGAAATAAGATGCTAGGGTCAATATGAGACTGCTAATGCCATACATATTATCAACATCAAGTATTCATGTTCAAATATCTGACTTTATAAATGTATGAATGTGAACTTATAACAAATTTATACACAAAATATTATTTTATAATCCTGTATATTAAGTTCTATGCAAAGTTCACTTAAGGAATATTACAAACCAATTGTTTACATAACAGCGTAATTAATATTATTACTTATATCCCAATTCCCAATTCTTGCTATAGCAACTACTTCACATTTCCGTTGGAAGGCACTTTGTCCCTGAGCAACTGTCTGTTTGTCACCAGCTATAGCTAGTGCACAGAAGAGTGCTCAGTTTTGTGATGTTTCCTATTTGACAGATGCTTTTTCCCCAGGATCATTTATTTATGATCTAACTAAAGGAAGAAAAAAGGAAGTTTGATGCTAGGCTTTGTGGGATTCAGAAAGAAAAGAAAATTTGCTCTCTCAGCAAATTATGACATCATGAGGTAACACTGCCAGGCCAGGGATGCAGTACTGGAAAATAAAAAATACAACACCACTGAGCTTGGCAAACCTTTTTTATTTTGTGATAAAAATGCTTTCATATAAATTTCATCTTAACTACCTTTAGAATGAAACGGAAAAGTAAAAACAAAGTGTGCATTTTCCTTACTATGTTTAGTCAGGAATATGCGGTCATTTTATTGGTTATTGGGTTTCTCATACAAACAGATATAATATCACTTTTAAGAGAAATGTACACAAGGAAGTAACCATAGTACCAGTTATTAGTGGGGGCCTCTGGGTACATAAATGTATCCTCCCAAATAGTCATCATACATTCACTGTATTCGTTAGGGCCAAAATCCCTAACCACCTCTCAACAAAACATTATACCTTTGGTTCTTTATTATGCAAGAATTACAAATTGTCAAATTCAATAAGATGATACAATGGATTTCAGCAACACAGCCAATTGCTTATACTAAAATCTTTAATTCTCAGACTCTCTTTCCCTCATACCTCTGCCTCCCCCACCTAAGAAAATGATGCTTAAAACAAAACAGAGGAAGCAAATAAACAAACAAAAAACCTATCCCCAAAAGCAGGCAGAAGAGGAGTCAAAGAAAGAATGTATAAAAATAAAAATAAACCAAAAATAACAGGGGAGGATCTATACATGGCATAAAAGATGTATCTCATAAAAACCGAGTCTCCAATTCAGAACCCAAATCAGAAAGTGATTATCCATCTTACCTTCCCTTTTATTAGATACCACACAATTCAAGAGTTCTTAAAATCTAACAGATCAGTAAAATGTTTGAAAGGCAGTGTTGTCCTCCTCATCACTGAAACCTGTTGTCTGTAATGACAGCTTTCACATTCCCTTTCTCCAAACCCAAAGGATCCGAATTAAAGTATTCCAAGAAAAAGAAACAAGCAATTTGGTCTGACATCGTGCTTAGGGAAAAGGGAGGATATAAAATATCCAGTGGCTGGATCAGCAGCTGATATTTTCAGAAGTGGGGCTGGGGCAGGAGGGCAGGAAAGGGCAGGAATGCTGTGGTCCACAGAGGCCCATGCAGAAAGGTTTTCCTCATCTATGAATAATAAATGGGTCCAAGGACAGAGAGTCACCATTTAGAATGGTAAAATGTTTGCACACTCTGAAAGAGGCTGACAGGATGTTGCCACATGGAGAGAATAAAGCAGACAATGAACAAACTTAATCTGCTTATCTCAGGGCAGAACTAATTATTTTTGTTGGTTCAATAAATTTGGACAGGACTGAAAAAACCATTTGTAAACTATCATGCTAACAGACACACAGGGTTTCCATACGGGGCCACCAACAGACATATTAGGTAAGTGGGAAGCACTGATGTATACTTGCAGCCACAGAAGGAATGAGAACTGTCATTCAAACCAAGAGTCAGGAATTCACCTGTTAATAGCTACAAAATGCCCAGGCAGAACTTATTTTGCAGGTGTCATGGGCATCACAGTACCTGACAAAAGTGGCAGTGTAGCCATGGACCAATTATTAACCGGCCCAAGAAGAAGAGGAAGAAAACTATTATTTTTCTACTATTAACTAAAATGCTTCTGCCCTTAAAAGAGAGTCAAGGAAACTGCCAAGAGCATGAATACAAACAGTGGGTTCAGGTGAGGGGCAGTCACAGTGTGAACAATGAGCAAGTCTGTAGTTGTCCATTACCATCTAGAAGGTGACTCTAGGAAAGGAAAACGTTCTGTTGAGTTTCTATGTTAGTTGCCAAAGGGAATGCCATGGCCGCTTCAGAGGAAAAGAAATGGTAGCAGAAAACAGCTATATAGTTCCTCCTTTTCCAATCTTCTTATAGGGCTGTCTTGGACCATAGAAAACAAGTCCAACTTTCCATTTCCTGCACTTAAACACAAAGTCCACGTCTTCAGTGAGAACATACTGGGTATACCAGTAACTCAGACCACAAGTGTGAAAGAAAGATTGGTGAGCAGGTCTTTAAGCAGCAAGATAATCAGAAAGTTGAGACTGATCATCCGACAAAAGGAAGACAACTGTCAGTGGGTCCCTTGGGCTAAGGAAAGTTCAGTCCTAAAGAGCAAGGGTACAACATTTGAGACAGTGTCTTCTGTGGAGATGAAAGGAAAGGCTCGACAGTTAAGACTAGTTTCATATGCTGGGTGAGTGAGTAAAACAGGCCTAGAGTGCTCAGATCTGGGACAAATATGTTCCATACACGCAGTCAATGGAATGCTTGGTAGGAAGTAGGGGACCTGTGGGTGGGTAGCCGGCTCTTGCACAAGTTAGCTTGTCGCTTGGTCATTCCAACATTCCAAACCTTTTTCTGGTTTTAAAAAAGTAGGGAGGGTCATAGTAACTAGACCATCAAGGATAAAACGTCACACTGACCAGGCCCATACACAGAAAAACAACAGACTCATACCCTTCCTCCTGGTAAAGTTTATATGAAGACCTGCACACAGACAAGAAAAATTAAGGTGTAGCCTCTTGAAGGGATCTCCTGCCCCCAAAATTTGTGGAAGAAAAATATTCTGCTCCCCTTCTCTCTCCAGGAATGATATATGCAGGAGAACATAATACAGTATGTCCATTTTCTAAAGAAACATACTTGAAAGGTTTATGCTGAGAACCATACCAAAGTAAACCTCGTGAGACTCCAAGAGATACTGGGAAGACAGGAGGGGAAAGGAGACCAAAGTTTCTTTCATGGGCCGGAATGATTAAAAACACAAAGGTCTTGCCCTATAACATGCTGGTAGGGCTACAATCATGGAGAGGTGCAAAATCGAAAGCACCAAATGAAGACAAAAGAATGTCCAAGGAGGAGAAGATGCATAGGTCAATTCAGGCAGAATTCCAGGGCACAATTCCCAACAGGACTCTAGTGTAGAATCTTCTCATGGATATGGCAGAAGCCCGCAGGGCTTAAAACACAGTCAAGGCTGCAAGAATGTCTGGGCTTCAGTAAGCATCCATCTTATGCTCCAAATAGAAGAGAGTAAACATGGACTCAAGGCTTGTATTCCTCTCGCATTTCCATAAGCTTGTCTTGATTATTAGATTAGAATAATCAATAAGCCTTGCAGATACCCAGTGAAACTGACAAATTGCTTCTCTTGCATTATCTGAATAAAAGCATCTTCTCTTTCCTACCTCTAGAAGCTGGCTCCAGAGATTTCTTCATTTCTCTCCCGGATGACCTTCATTTGTTCCTCAGCAGCATTTACAAAAGGCAGTTATGTCTCTACACTGGAGGTGGACTCTTTCACGCATAAACCTGCATGTTGTTGTGTGGTGGCTCAGACATGTGTGTCCCAGGTCCCCGCTGACCTCCTCCAGCACCCCCAGGGGTAGGGCTGGTGGTCACATCTGACCAGTCAGAAGCAGAGTGGGGTGATGAACTTGACCACTGGTCAGGAGACTCTGGGGATGGTGTCAGGTAGGGATGCTCACCCTGGAGGTGACCACTGTGACTGGGTGTTCGCTCAGCAGCATTTGAGGAAGCATAACTGTGCTGTGAAGGGGGTGTGGGGTACTTGCCCACAGAGGCTGGGAAAGGATGATAGGCTGGGAGAATGGTCTGAGCTACCTGCCCGTCCTGTTGGGGCATCATGGCAGTGGGGAAAGCCACACTGGGCAAACGGGCCATTTCTGGAATCTGGTACATGGTGGGCAGGGGGCCCGTAACAGCTGGAGGGCAGGTGGACTGAGGCTGGGGAGCCCCCGCTGGTTGGGCAATACTGCCTTTAGGGATGAGCTGGAAAGTCACAATGGGGGGCAAGGGCTCCCGAGGGGTGGTTATGTGCTTCCCTTCAGGTGGCCTGCTCTGGGGAGCTATGCTAGGGTGGGTGCCCTCAGCTGGAGCCAGGACCATACCAAACATCTCATTGTACTGGGTTTCATTCACCTCCATGCGGTTCATCCAGTCTGCTGGGACTGGGACTGGATGGAGCCTACTCAAGCTTCCAGCACTGCCACTGCTTGGGGGCACAATGTGGTGGTGGGATAGCAACTGGCTCACTGAGGGAAGCACAGTGCTGGCCCCATGAGCCAAAGGCTGCATTTCATGAAGGTTAGAAAAAGACAGTGCATGCTGGGCATGGACTGAGGCAGGAGGGGCGGCAGTGGCCAACATAGGGTTGGGTGAGGCCTGTAAGATCCCAGGGGATGTAATCATTGGAGAGGATGTGGTATCGGAAACGTATGTGTGAGGAGATTCTAGGGAATCAACAGGAGATAAAGTTACTGAACTCTCAGACAGTTGGACCTTCTCACTCAGAGACTTCTTCCTCCTACTACCCTTGGCATCCTTCGCCTCCTTGGCAAGGTTAGGGAGGCTAGTGGGCATGGTATTCTTGGCACTGGGCCGTCTAGACTTCTTGCCCATTGGTGTGTGCTTCAGGCTGAGGAAAGATCTGTTGGGCCCACAGATGACAGGTGAGAGAGCAGAAGTCAACACGGTGCCTGGAGGGCTTGGGGTCACATTGTATTCATCCAGGAGGCGCACAATGTCATGGTGCATGCGATCCCGAGCCACATCCCGGGGAAGACGATCCATATGGTCTGTGATGTCTCGATTGGCAAAATGGTCTAACAGGATCTTGGCTGCTTCATAGCTCCCCTCCCGGGCAGCAAGAAACAGCGGTGTCTCTTCCTACAGAAAAGGCCCATCACAGAACACGTTAACACTCTTGAGAATATAGCAGTTTTTCTCAGTCTTTCTTATTATCACCCCCTTAGACATGTTTTCCTAATTATCTCCCCGATGAAATATTAACATCACAGATAGGCTGTGCCTCTACCAGTGTACTGAATGTGTATCTGTGATTTATACATAAAAAGAGTAAGATTATTTCACCTCTCCTCAAAAAACAATTTTGCACCTTAGGAGGAACATCTCTTTAGTTGGGAATTCATAAAATAAAGCATGCCCCTGAGCCAGAGACTCACTTAAAAGAGTACTGAGCTTATCAAAATAAGGTTCTAATAGGAAAAGGAGTTAGAAATAAGAAAGGTAGGAAGAGAAAAAACTAAGGCATGCACAGAACTGGGAAAAATAAGGGAAACAGTGAAAGAAAGAAGAGACAAAACATGTGCAAGAAAGGACTAAGATGAGGAAAATGAAGAAAACTGAGAGAAGATGAATGACAGAAGGAAGCAGGACAAAAAAGACGGAGAAAAATCAAACAGGAAAACATCAGGGTATCCAAGGATAGAAAAAGCAGCAGCAGGAGGGAAAAAAGAAAGAAAACAAGAGAAAAAGAAGTGACTATGAACAGAAGAGACAGCTGGAGAAAAGGAATGTCAGGGAGAGAAAAGGTTACACCAAGCTATCTATAGCCAGCCTACTGCAAGCTGAATACTGAGAGGGAAAAGAACTCCATCCTGACACATGCCTGGACAAGCCCTATATTCTTATCAAGCTCTCCAAACCCAGTGTCTGCCCAAACTGCTTCCATCTTTGTCTATACATATCACAAGAGAAGCTGTAAGGAGAAATGGGAAGGGGCTTATAACTGAGGCACTGCTATGAGCCTCCTTAAACTCAGAGCCACAAATTGTACCTTGTTGTCCTGCATGTCTCGGTTAGCCCCATTTTTCAACAGCAAAAGAGTCGCCTCCACATTATTGACAGCAGCTGCCCAGTGAAGGGCAGATTTTCCTGAAGGGGAGAAACATTTTTATAAACAGACATATCATACTCTTAGTAAAAAACACCATGACTTGTACAACGAAACTTTAAATTCCCCAGAGATCAGCAGGAAGCAGTTCTCTGTAGGGGTCTATAGGAAAAACCAAAGTAATCTCTTCCTTTTCCTCTGTTCTAGAAATACTTCAGTACAGGCTGCCTAGCCTGCAGAAGACCTCTAGGTGAAAGGATCACTTGTATGAGGTATTCATGTCCCCTACATGGCAGAATCTACCCTGTTACATACTGAAGACAAAAACCTATGTATTACATGTCAGAATTTATATTGAGAATATTCCACAACTCTCCTAGAGAAGTCAGCTCTCATAAATCCTCAAATCAAGAGTGGTATGCCTAGGAAACTACATGGGAACACCTTTCATGTATCTGCTCTGAGGTCCAAGAACCCTCATTAAAAATCCCTCATTTTAATTAGGGATCTCCTACTGGCTTGGATCTCTGAGTTCAGCATGTTAAAGGAAGAATGAATAAATGCATGAATGAAAGAATGAGTGAATCTCCCATGTATTTGAATCTCAGACAGTTCTTTAAGGGTCATGTAACCAGTCCCCCTCCTCAGAGGCATGCTTTGCAGGTAAGAATCCAAATCCCTGCCTTTCATCCCTACCATGGTCATCCACTGCATTCACATCTGCTTGGCAGTTGATCAGTTCTGCCACCATTCCCTCCACAGCCAGGCGGGCAGCCAGGATCAGGGGTGTAGTACCATCATTCATCCTGGCATCTAGATCAGTTACTCGGTTGCGAATCAGAATCTAGAAGAGGAGAAAATACAGAAAAGAGAGTCACCTGGATGAAGGAAAATAATGAAACTCAGTGAAGAAACAAGGGCATCAGAGCTGAGGCTACACTGTAGGTTCCCAGAGGGGAGGGAAAGTCTTGTTATCTTTGTGCCCAAGATTCTATCGTCATCAATCAATAAATAGTTGTTGATTGAATAAATAAACAAATACGTGCTCAATAAATAATGGCCGATGTAAAGTGAAGAGCCTTCTACTTCCTCAGGAAAGAAGAGGGATGTGGGGAAATATCACAACTTCAGTCAGTCTACAGTCTAAGGTGATTCAGAATGCTTCCGATTTCCTCGTAAGGATAAACAGGCATCAGGGAATATAATAGGAACTCAGGTCAAGAAAACTGCCAATGAGCAGCTGGAAGCCCATACAGTCAGGCCAATCCGTAAGCAGTAGTGGATACAAGTCAAAGGCTCCAGAACAGGTATCACTCTCATCTAATCTATGCATTTGGGAAGCATCTTGGCACAACAAATTATCACTAATAATCAGAAAGACTGCTGTTGTCTGCAGTTGGCTCTATCACTATCTTCCTATATAGAGCTGGGTCAGTTTGCCTGTCTCCCTTCCCACTTTCCCATCTAGCAGGCATGACTCTAATACCTGCCCTAATCTCTCAAATGATTGAATAAATTCAATGAGATATTAGTTCCTTAAAAAAGATAAAACTGTACAGAGCCATAGGAATTATTATTCAAGTGACTCTTCTCATGTTCTTTACCTGGAAGACACCTTGGGCATCAGCTGCCACTGCAGCATGGAGGGGGCAGCGGCCCATGTTGTCCTGGGCATTGGCATCTGCACCTGCATCCAGGAGACGCTTGGCAGCATCAGCCCGTGAGTAGCGGGCTGCAAGGTGCAGGGCCATCTCACCAGTCCGGTCCGTCTGGGCCTGGAGGCTGGCACCTTGGTAGACCAAGTCTGTGATGATGTTAGCAGAAGAGTCCTCTGCATCTTCATCTTCATCACTCAAATCTGAGCTGCCTCCTCGGAGAGAAGCCAACATTAATGGGGTGCAGCCATCTGTAGGAATGGAAAATTCCATAAAGTACTCAAGAAGGAGAAGGCAGTTAACCCTATCTTCAGCTTGAAACAGCTCTATTTTAGTTACTCTTAGGGGCAAAGAATTCCCTGCACTTCTTGTAGTAACTGGTTATTAGTTTCACATTTGCTACATTTTCCACTGATAACATCGTTTCTGTAAAGAATAATGGGAAAGTACAAGTCTTTTTAAGCTGGGGGTTCTTCTCTAAGTAAAACAAGTTTTTCTGTTCAAGTTTAAGTGATATGTTATTTTAATTGGACATTTAAAAATATGTAATATTAATAGAGCAATTGATATATTCATAAGGTATTAACTAACTATCCTCTGCTTTGGGATATTATTTTTCTATCCTACTACAATCTAACCCATTTTATCAGCCTGTTTAGTCTCAACACACTGTACGTGAAGCAATGTGAAATCCTTCCCTTTCTGAGTTGATAATTTCTTCATGGCTACATTTCTTAAGCATTCATTTCCTCAAGCTGATTTACAGTCTGTGAAATTGGGAAGGGGTATATGGCTGGATGGGGCAAACACAGGGACAGCAATGTGGAACCATGGGCAGACACAGCCCAGTGAAGAGGGGAAGAGGCCGGGTGCTGACCTGGGCCCCGGACATTCACATCCAACACATCCACCTCCTGCTCTGCCTGAGGAGGGGTGAGGGCCAGCGATGGTGTCCTACGGATGTCTGCAGCTTCAAGGTGCTGCTGTGTCCATGGCCGTCGATCAATGGGGTCGTCTTCTTCTGAGAGTAAGGCTTCATCTTCAGCCTGAAAGGTGAAAACAACGCTCCCTATCAATCTGGCCACCACCAGAAACTGCTAATGAGAAGCTGTCCAGAGCCTCCACCAACCCTGCTTATCTCCCATTGTTTTCTCTCTTCCTACTCCTCCACCTCTCCGGAGGATTACCTCAGCCTTGGTTTCCCACTGCTCTCGTGATGTGGCTCCTGCTTACTTTTCCTGCATCATCTAGGCAATTCCCTTCCCCCATCCCAAACTCTAGGCTTTAGCCTTTAGATCTCCAGAGCACCCAATTCTCACTTTTCCTACCCTCCACTAGAAAGTAAACTTTAATTCTCCTTGTTGACCCTAAAAAGCATACTCTGCTCACCTCTGCTTAACTGATCTTGTTTTAAGTGCTTACATAGTATTACATGGCCATCTCCACCACCAGGCTGTAAGCTTCTCGAGAAGGCAAAATAAGCCTTGTTCAACATTGCTTCCTTGTACTCAACATAGCACCCAACATGTAGAAAGCACTCAGGAAAGACTATTCAATAATAATTATGATAATTTAAAAGCAGCTACCCTTTACTGAACACTTAGTACATGACAGGAAAGTAGATAAGGCACATATGCCAACACAACAACCCACAGAGGAAAGGGTTATTATTATCTGCATTTTACAAGGAATGATAATTACAAAGAGGTTAAGTAACTTGCCAGCTACTAAGTGGCAGAGTTTTGGATTTGAATCCAGTTCTGATATTAACTAAAGATTAGTTACTATCATAATTTCTTCACGGCTACATTCCTTAAGCATTCACTTCCTCAAGCTGATTTAGAGCCTGTGAAATTGGGAAGGGGTATATGGCTGGATGGGGCAAACACAGGGACAGCAATGTGGAACCATGGGCAGACACAGCCCAGTGAAGAGGGGAAGAGGCCAGGTGCTGACCTGGGCCCCGGACATTCACATCCAACACATCCATCTCTTGCTCTGCCTGAGGAGGGGTGAGGGCCAGCGATGGTCTTCTTAACCATCATGCTCTACCAGCTCCCAGCAATGCACAGCTGTGGATGGATGGTCTCCTTTTTCATGTCAGTCTCAGCTCAATCTACCACTTGCTTTTATATGGTTTTAGTTTCCTGGGCTCAAAGTATGGAGCCTCCAATGTCAACGTTTTGCCATGATCACTGGCTTTCGTTTTGCCAATGTCAATGATCACTGGCTTTCTTCTACTGCTTAATTTCATCTTTTCTTATAGAAGGAGAAGTACCCATAAAGGATAAGGAAGAGACGTGGCCATGAAGGAATTGCCATCTACACACACCATTCCTGACTTGACTACTGCCAGCACGACACTAAAGGAAAGAGACGTGTTTGTTTTAATATTTTTAAAGAGTTATTCTTGAAGAGTATACATAGGTAACCCAAGGTCATCAATGTCCTAAGGATTCCTGCTGTTTAAAAGAACCTAGGATAGTTATCATCTGGGTAACATATAAAGACTATCACTCTTTACTCCCATTCAGGACACTCTGGAGCTAAAGGACAGAAATTTGAAATGTAATCAGATAATGTCTGACAATGGTGGTTCTACCATGGCCACCTCACCTTCACTTTCTTTGGTTGGGGCCCTTCATCATCGACCCAGTGTTCACTTGTTCCAGAACCAATTAGGTTAGCTTCTGAGACTTGCACTGAGAGATTTCTAATACGATTATAAAAATAAAAAATAAGAATGGCGGTTATGTCATAAACTAATAGAGCGGTTTTCAACACTTTCCATCATGACACACTCCCATGGCTCTATTACAATCTTGCAGGGTCTTGGCCCAGAGAAGATGGGCAGTATTTTTGTGACATTCCCTTGGCATTCATTCTTTCCCTTCCCACTGAGCGTGAGCTTACAACAAAAGTGCACCTCAACACAGAAGCTGGGTGGCACTGTGATAATATGCACAGAATAGATGCACCCAGGCTCTGACTGTGGTTTCAGTCACTCACAAGGCATTTAGAATCACGGGCAGTGGGAGTAAATGTCCAGAGCTTAGAATTTAAAATCATGATTCAACAAGATACGCTTTTCTAGTCATCCCTACTTATACTGTGAATAGTGGCTTGTTGGCAACGCCTCTTACTTCAGCCCCACAGCATCCTGTCCCACTGGCTCACGACGCTTGTGATTGCTTGCATCTCGGCGAAGAGTGAAACCTTCAGGCAGCCAGAGAGAGCCATGCTTACGCTTTCGTTTTGCCATGATTACCCCCAGCAGAATAATAAACAGAATGATGACAACAGCAACAGCAAGGAGATAGAGGAGCTGAGTGCGTTCTGGAGTCAGGGATTCACCTGAAAGTCCACAGAGACAGGGAAAGTGCTGAATAAAACATCAACCTCTCAATGTCAGCATTAGATTCATTTAGAGGGCAACTTTGACCTCAACAGTTCTGAAAAAATAAGAGGGCTACATAATGAAAATTGTTCCCCCAACTGACACTCTCCCCCCACCACCTTTCCCCTTTACACCACTGCCACTCACTGACGACAGACACGAGAGGGTATGACAGGGTCCCCTGTATGGCGTGAGAGGCCAGGAGAGCTGCTGCTGCATCTGTGTTCTTGAAACAGTGGTCTGAGTCTTGAACACACTGGCGGTTGTCAATTTCCAGAAAGACTTTAGAGCTGTGGGATGCCAAGGGAGAAGCAGAGGAGGAGAGATGGGGGTAAAACAGAAGAGTGCAGGTCAGGCAGAATGTGTCATAAAGGGTGATGGGAGCCTTCCTTCCTCCCCTTCAGCATCAGGTCCCTACCTCTGGCATGCTGCTTTAAGACATATCTCAGAAATTAGGATATTGTCCCTTGAGATCTTAAACACTAATTCCCACATAGAGGATGTCCCACCTTCCTTAGTCTAGCTGACCAAAGCCTTCTGGCTGAGGCAATGCATGACAAAGTGAGAAGCTGTTTTCCTCCTGAAGGTTTCAGTGGTCTTCTTCCATTCTTTCCTACCTACTCAGTGGTACTTAGTGCTACTCTAAAAATACATCCCTGTGCATTTTTAGTCCTTATTTTCCTTTGTCTGTGCATTGGTATCTCAGCTAGTTGGAGGGTTGAAAGTTTGAGAATATACCAACAAAGAGTGAGGTGTGAATGACAGAGCAAGTGAAGATCATTACCTGTGTCAAAGAGACGTATATTCTAAAGAAGGGCCTTGACAATAAGGCAATGATTAATGTACAAAGGAATGTCACTAATAAAGGGATTTGAGGCAACTCTGGCAAAAGGTTATGGATTCTGGCATCCGAGAAGGCCTTCCAAGCATCCTGCCTTCTGTGTACCCCAGTCCACTTTTCAGGAGCCCAAGATCAAGGCACATCTTTACATTTAAACATAAGTACTGGGGTAATGGGTTTATCTTAAGTGGTGGGCCATTCTATTTGTCTGATATTTGCATTTCTATAGGTTGAGTTATGACATGTGCTACATATCAAAGTGCTAGGCTTCATAAAATTAGCCTTGAAGTTCAGAAACCAAACACTTACCCAGCCACCTCCTGCTCTTGTTCACCAGGAATGGACCTGCGTGTCATCCTCTGTTTCTTCATGGCAGCTGATTTCTCACCATAATAGGGGTACACCATGAGCTCCCCCTGGGAGTCCCGCTTAATGCGCAGGTTGGTGTGGAGCAGGGTCCCCAGTGCCCGCAAGAAGCTGCGAGCATCCTGGAGCAGCTGTTCAGGTGGCATCAATACCACAATAACCAGGGTACCCTCTGCCAGGTTCTCAGGCTGGTCAGCAGCACAGTCCAGCCCATCCCAACCACACTCCTCACTGTTGCACCCCTGGTCACAGTGGTTGTCTTTGAAGTGGTCTGCACAGTATTTGTCATACCTAGGTAAGGGGAAGCAGAGAACAGGAGAAAGGGGCTCAGATTAGACTGGAGCTCTATTTGCTTTTTCATTTGGAACTAACTGTGGATTTTCCTACCCATTTTCTGTGGCCCACACCCAGGACCCAAATGCCCCACAAAACCTTCTTTGCATCTCCTATCCCTGATGTCATAGAGTATGTATAGTCTACGCCACTCATCCTTGTTGTGTACTTCCTAAATGAAGAACATTGTACTCACTACGCTGCAGGAGCTTAGGGACTCCCAGGCAGTTTACAATCCCGTTAAGTCAGGTTTTCAAACAAAGCTGCATATCTGAAACAAAAGTCAGCCTGGTTCATGCTTCCTCTACTTTGTATCCATTGTCCCCAATAAGGTAACAACGGGCTTTAGGAAGTGAAAGATGCCTCTAGAAACTTGATAAATGACCCTGAACCATTGAGAGTTGCCATAGAGAACCATATTAACATGACCCATTTCTTTCCCTTTCAAGAGCGAATCCCAGCTACAGAAGGTAAAGGGGGATGGGTATGTCCTTGTAGCACACCAGACCTTACTTGTACAGGCTCTTTCAATATTTGCAAAAGGAATTAGAACCCCCAAACCTAAATGATGTACAAACTATTTCATCTACACTCTCCTCTCCTCATACCCTACCCCTTGATATTTATACTACTTGGTACAACTTTTCATGCTATCTCAATCAAAAGATTAGGAGTCAATGAAACAACTTGCTCTGGCAAGTTCTTTAACCCTTGGGCCTAAGTTCTCTCACCTATGAAAGAATGTTAATAATACCTATGCCTCATGGGTTGTTGAGAATTAACTTGGATTAAATTAGATGGAATGGCTAATTAATAGGAAAGTTCCTAAGTAAACCATACAGCATCCTACAACTATAACAATTAAGACCAGGAGGGTTCACAGGCCTAATCTAATTCATGCTTCCTGATAAACCTGGGTGGGGAAAAACAGTCTTAGGGAAAGGAATGGGGTGAAGAGAGAGATACAGACCTTTCCATCCATCCTGCAGGCAGGTTATGTGAGAGGCTGCTTGAAGTGGGAAACACCACTTCCAAAAGTTATATCCCCCAGGAGGTCACGAAGGCAGCAGGTGAGAAGGCAGAGATAGGCAGAGAGAGAGGGTCATTATGCAATGAGCATTCCTGGCCCTTTGTCAGCAAGGGAGAGCACAGGGTAGTGTGCGATGGGACAAGGCTGGCACCATCTGAAAAGCAGAGGCAGCTTAGGCTGAAGCACTGGAGTGGTTAGGAGCAAGAACGAGAAACTGAAGTGTGTTAGTGACAGTCCCCTTCAGCTTCTGGAAAACGTGAAGCCCTTACTTGCATGTCTTGCTGTTCCCCTGGCATTCAAAGTTGTCAAACAGGCACTCGGCCGTGTTGCACAGCTCATCACACTGGTTGTTGATATAATCCCAGCAGGGAAGTGGGGAGGAACAGTTGGCCCAGGGGTTCTCCATGGTGAGAGAACAGTCACCCCCATCCCACTGGCAGGCATGGCTGTTGCAGGCCTCATCACAGACGCCATCACGAGCTTTGTCGGCACAATATTGGCTCAAACAGGTGGCAGGAGGGGTGCTGGGGGGTGCCGTGTAGAGTTCACAGCGGCTACCCCAGAATGGTGGGGCACACTGGCAGGAGTAATAAGGAGGCTGGCGCTGAGGGTGGCAGCTGCCCCCGTGCTGGCAGGGGCTACTGGCACAGCCTGACTCGCAGTCCCGGGGGTTGGGGCAAAAGCAGCGGGGTCCAGAGGCGGTGTGCACACACTGCTCTCCTTTCCTACATTTCACTTGTCCACAGCTGCTCTGGCACCTTGCCCCGGAAAATCCCTGTGGAAATCAGTGAGGAAATAAAAATGGCATTGGTAGGAAAACAGTCATATTGGAAGTTTTGGGTTTCTAGAAAACCTCCACATCTCACTACTCCCTTCTGTACTTCCTGTTCAGCCCAAGCCAAGGTTACTAGACAGGTTTCCTTTTGGTATCTCCCGAGGCATAGGGATCTCTTGTTTTGGGAAGGTTTCAGCCTCTGGCAGTGATAAAAGAATGGGTATAGCAAAGAGCTAAAATTAAGCTTCCCTCTACTTTAAGAGACAACTTGCTTTCAAATGGTTCCTGCTAAAGAATGCAAGCAGAGCAGCATTTCCACCAACTCTGGCCCAACCTGGGCAGTGAGATTACCCTCCAGCATGGGGCCAAGAAGCCACATACATCAGCCCTATTTTCAAGGGGGCATTCCACCACTTTTTATGGTTTTCCCTTAGTTTTTCTTAAGACTGACAGTCATGGATTGGAAAGCTCACTGTTTCTGGGAGTATCTAAACAGCTTTTATTTACTTTTGTTTTTGTTTTGTTTTGTCGCTTGTAAACAGCTTTAAATGGAAGAACCCAAGTACTTTCTTGTGAAAGAGCGGAACTGAGAAATCTTCCCATTTGGAAGACTGATTAAACCAGGTTTAATCTCAGTTCTGTCACAGATTGTATGGAAGAGACAATGCCCCTTCTTAGATGAGCAACAGGGCACTTACCGGGGGACAACGGCAAATGAAACCATCAGGCATGTTACTGGCCACAGCACAAGTCCCTCCATTCAGGCAGGGCATCTGGGGACACACATCGACGAAGGTTTCACAGTGCCGGCCTCAGAAAATAAAAAATAAAAAAAGCTTTAAAAGGCAGAAGTAGTCACTACAAGTTACTGAACAAACTTTGCTGGAATGGGAACTAGCCATAGGTGGAGCAAGTGTGAGAGAGTTCAGTTCTAAGCCTGTGGTAATCTGAGCATAGGAAGAAAACACTCACTGTATCTCAACATGATTGGCCTGTCACTGGCTCAGGCCAGTCCCTTACTCTGTCTTGCCTCCACAATAAGTACCAACTCACACGACAGTATGGGTGAGAAAAGTGACTTAAATCCCACCAAAAAAAGAGAAATCACACTTCAGCTTTTTGAAGTCACTTTAGCTTTCATAAATTGCAGGAAACAGTTGAAAAACTATTCATTGCATTTTGTTAATGTCATCTACTTCATAGGAGAGGCTATACCAGGCCAATATATTTAAAAGGTGATTTGCAGCATAGAGAATTTTCATCTGTGATACCTCATTTTAATCACTTTTTGGCCTTTCTGTAACCTAACTCAATTCCTTAAAATGCAGCTTGATTTTCCTAGAGTTAGTTTCCTCTAGGAATAGTTCCAAAACAGAAGGTCCCTAGGGGCCACTGCTCCAAGATAAAGAACGAGGCAACTGGAACCACAGAGGAGACGCAGGGCACAGCTGGGACTCCTGGTCAATAGCAGGAGATAGGCCCCACCTGGCCTGTGGTCACTCGGGAAAGAAGAGGTAGCTTTAAAAATGAAACAAAAATATAATGTTTTTGGCCAATGAGATCAAGCAGCAAGAGGTATAAATGTTTGTCTCTTCAAATCACAGCAGCAGCCACTAACCAAGAGCAACCACCACATGGACACAGCTTGGTGGACCACCAGTCCCTTGCTGTTTATCTCTGCAACAGCATCCCACAATAATTGTGCTCAATGTATTCAACAGATTTTTTATTTTTTTCATTCACAAATGTGGAAAACACACAAACACTACTTCCTGGCTGTGGGACACTACTTCAAAGTGGTCTCCATTCCTTCCTTCTCCTGCTTCCCCCTTACTTTGCAAATCCTTGTCAGTGTTTCCAGAGAAAAAAGCCTCAGGGGCAATGAAAGAAACGGGAGCCAGTTTTGCTTCGTTGGCTTTCCAGCTGCAGTATGGCCAATACGAGGCTGTAGACAGACTGTTCATACTCACTCTGTTCCACATTGCCTCAATAGCTATTATGTTCACAACGGACTATTTCTTTTTGGATGTTAGTGTATCCAGGGAGCTTCCATATTGCAGAATCCCTATTCTTTATAAAATTCTAAGATGGTAAGGTAGCATATCTTTAAAGTTGGAAGGAAAGATGGCTGAAGATGGGCTCAGGATATAGCAGAGTTCAGCTTGATGAATTGTTTGTAAATAGACTATTAAAGCCTATTTTCTGAATCCCAAGGAATCTGATCACACCCTCCGTATGAGAAATACAACTACAGACCCCAGGAAATGCATGATAATTTTCAAATCTGAGTATCCTGCCACATCTGGATACAAACAACTATTTTAGTTCCCAACAGTCACCATGCTGCCCTCTCCAGAAGCAACTAGTAAGTTCTTGTGACAAGACCCCTATTCTGAGGCAGGGCTTGGTCATCTTCATGCCCTGTGACGAAAGAAAGAAGCTTGGGAACAGAGTAGGAACATGGCCAAGCCTTTACTGAGCAGGGCATTACTTGTGACCACTGCAACTTTTCATTTCATACCCGTATCAACGATCCTTGGTTAAAGACACTTGAATTTGGACCTGCTCCCTTTAAGTATCTAAGCAGGGTCCTAAGCTTCTCTGAGTCCTAGGAGTGGAACGATCACGGTGGCAGGAACTACCCTGTAATTCAAGCCTCACATGTCAAAGGAGGCAGGGCGAAGAAACCAGAGTTAGACGTAAGGTTCCTTAAAACAAAATGTTATTTTGTTCAGATGAAAAGAGTTCTGTGAATGAATGGTGGTGATAGAACAACAATGTCAATGTACTAAACAATGCCACTGAACTGTACACTGTATACTTTAAAATGACTCAGTTAGTAAATTTTAGGTTTTGGATATTTTGCCACTATTAAAAAATGTTATTTTGTTCAACTACTTTCAATATACACTGTAAAAAATATTCCTGTCATAGCATGATATAATCAATACACAACAAAAGAATCTCTCAGGAAAAATTAAAGGTAGACACTGATTGTAACATCCATAGAGTACAGACCAAGAAAAAACTGGCTTTTAAAAATTAAGCTACTGTTGTTTTTCTTATATAAGAAAAGCTTCACTTGGGTCTGGGACAAGTCACAGGGCCCAATTTGTTCACTAAAACCATCTTCCAAGGCAGAGTGGCCAGGAGGCTAGAGAGCTTCTCACCAGTAAAGGCACTACGGCAAACACACAGGTAGTCATTGGTGAGCTGTATACAGTCCAGGCTGCCCTCAGAGCTGCAGGGGTTGGAGAGGCACTCGTTGATGTCTCCCTCACATCGCTCCCCAGCAAAGCCAGGCAAGCAGCGACAACTGTAGCCTCCAATCCTATCCACGCACTGACCACCATTAAGGCAATGTGGACCCCTGGCACAGTCATCAATGTTTTCTTCACAGAGTAGGCCTGGAGGAAAGAGAAGAGGCACAGAATTATGAAAATCCTTTTAACCTGCTTTCCAGCAAGGGATAACCACACTTGTTGGCATTTTCACAATGAATCAGAGTATACTCTTCAACTGGTAGTGGGACCTTGTAGTTGGGCAGGGCAAAGCACATGCTTTATTCATGACAGCTGTCATCCTTCTGGTGAGTTGTACAAGTAAAGAAATGAACACACTAGAGCTCCACATGTACTCTCCCACACAATCCACTGAAGTAGCACCCTATAGTGTAGGTCCTATTATTTGTCCCATCTCAAAGACAAGGAAACTGGAGCTCAAGAGAGGCTCAGTAATTTTTCCAAAGTATAATCTAAAATATAAAAACAGTCCAAAAAAGAACATAACAATAAATACAGTCATGCAACTGTATAATGACATTTTAGTCAATGCAGGCAGCATACACAACAGTGGTCCCATTATGAAGCTGAAGCTGATAAATTCCTGTTGCCTAGTAACATCATAGCCTTGTAATGTCATAGCACAATTACTTTTTAAATAAATTCAGTGTAGCTTAGGTGTACAGTATTTACAAAGTCTACAGTAGTCTACAGTAATGTCCTAGGCCTTCACATTCACTTACCATTCACTGACTCACCCAGAGCAATTTCCAGTCTTGCAAGCTCCTTTCACGGTAAATGCCCTATACAGGTATACTATTTTTTATCTTTTATATTGTATTTTTACTGTACCTTTTAAGTTTTCTACGGTACCTCTTCTTAAATATGTTCAGATACATAAATACTTTCCATTGTGTTATAATTGCCTACAATATTCAGTTCAGTAAAACAAGGTGCAGGTTTGGAGCCTAGGTGTGTAGTAAGCTATACTCTCTCTGTTTGTGTAATTACACTCCATGATGATTGTACAACAATGAAATTGCCTAAGGGCGTATTTCTCAGAACATATCCCCACTGTTAAGTGACCCATGACTATACATAGGTTATGTAAATACATTGGTAACAATTGGAACTGAATTTTGAATGAAATACATTTTTAAGTTTTATAATCACTGGCTTTTTTCTGTAATAGTGTGTAAATGCACCAATGCTTTTTATTTAACAAAAATAGGGGATAAATTTCCTGCTGAGAGTTCAAAAGTTATTCCATTTAAAATAGGACTCATTTAATGTACTATAGCTATAAGTGAGCCATCTAGTATGAATATCTGCATACAGTGTCTTAGAAAGAAACAAAAGAAATCAATGACTATTCTAGAAATTATTCTATGATTAATTCAAAAAGGTACAAAAGAGGCCGGGCGCAGTGGCTCACGCCTGTAATCCCAGCACTTTGGGAGGCTGAGGCAGGCGGGTCACTTGAGGGCAGGAGTTCGAGACCAATCTGCCCAACATGGTGAAACCCCATCTCTACGAAATACACAAAAATTAGCTGGGTGTGGTGGCACATGCCTGTAATCTCAGCTACTCGGGAGGCTGATGCAGGAGAATCACTTGAACCCGGGAGATGAAGGTTGCAGTGAGCCGAGGTCACGCCACTGTGCTCCAGCCTGGGCAACAGAGCGAGACTCTGTCTCAAAAAATAATCGTAATCATAATAAAAATAAAAACAGGTACAAAAGAAAACAGTTCTGTATTCCTGCCACTTGCATTGTAGCATACACTAACAAAAGCAAGATTATTTTTTTTAAAATGTAAAATAAGGCCCAATTTTCAATAGCAATTACCAAATTACCAAAGATAAAATACCTAGGAACAATCTTAACAAGAAATGTGTTACACTTATATGAAGACAACTTTAATACTGTCCTAACAGACACAAAAGAGACTTGAATAAATGGAAAGACATACCAGGATTTGGTTAGCAAGATTCCTCATCATGAAATTGTCAGTTTTCTCTATACTGATTCATAAATTTAATGAGACCCCAATAAAAATTACCAACAGGAATTTATTAAGACAAGCTGATTATAAAATTATGTGAAAAATAAACTGTAACTATAACCAGAAAAACTATGAAGAAGAAGATCCTTAATTGGAACAGAAAGTTATTGGTGAATTAATAGAATAACAGAGAAAATAAAGTCCAGAAGAATACCAAAAATACACATGGGAATTTAGAATCTGGCAAAGGTACCATCTCAAATCATTATATAAAAAACAAAATATTCAATAAATTGTGTATTAACAAATGAGTAGCCATATGGAAAAAGTACTTGAAGAAAATATAGGAGAATTTCTTTACAACCTTCAAGTGTATAAGATGTTGCTAACTACAACTCAAAATCCAGAAGCCATTTTAAAAATGATAAATTCAACTTGATTAAAAAGTAAAAGTGTGCACTAAATATCACTATAAAGAAAATCAAAAGATAAAAAAACAACATACTGGGAAAATATTTGTTTTTTTAATATCATAGACAGCCAATTTCCACAAAAAATTAAATCAACAACTTAATGGGGGAAAAAAGACATACATATATATATAAATATATATATAAACAGAAACTGCAAGAAAAGGAAAAGAAAATGATTCTTAAATGAAAATATATTCTCCACTTTAACAAAAAGCTAGTATGCTGATATACTGAAATTACTGATTAAAATTATAAATGTATGTATTACTCAATCCAGCGATTCTATTTCTGAAAATTTATTTTACCAATATGCTTATATGCCTGCAAGATAACTGAAATATCTATCATGATGACACTGGTTAAGTAAAATATGGCATGCCTGTAAAAGGGAATTCTGTAGCTATAAAAAATATTGAGGGCCGGGCGCGGTGGCTCACGCCTGTAATCCCAGCACTTTGGGAGGCCGAGGCGGGCGGATCACAAGGTCAGGAGATCGAGACCACGGTGAAACCCCGTCTCTACTAAAAATACAAAAAATTAGCCGGGCGCGGTTGTGGGCGCCTGTAGTCCCAGCTACTCGGGAGGCTGAGGCCGGAGAATGGCGTGAACCCGGGAGGCGGAGCTTGCAGTGAGCCGAGATCGCGCCACTGCACTCCAGCCTGGGCGACAGAGCGAGACTCCGTCTCAAAAAAAAAAAAAAAAAAATATTGAGGAAGTTCGGGCCAGGCGTGGTGGCTCATGCCTGTCATCCCAGCACTTTGGGAGGCTGAGGTGGATGGATTGCTTGAGGCCAGGAGTTCGAGACCAGCCTGACCAACATGGAGAAACCCTGTCTCTACTAAAAATACAAAATCAGCTGGGCGTAGTGGCACATGCCTGTAATCCCAGCTACTCGGGGGGCTGAGGCAGGAGAATCACTTGAACCCAGGAGGCGGAGGATGTGGTGAGCTGAGATCGTACCATTGCACTCCAGCCTGGGCAACAAAAGCAAAACTCCATCTCAAAAAAAAAAAAATATATATATATATATATATAAAATATATATTCCTACACACATCATAATCAAACTATCAAAAGATAAAGAATCTTAGAGGCATCAATATATATATAATATATAATATATATAATATATATAATATATATAGAGAGAAGTATATATAGAGGAGAGAGAAGTTCTATATTTTGATATGAAAATATCTCCAATTAAATAAAAAAAAATCAAGTACAAAAAATGTGTCTAATGTTCTATCTTCAGAGTAAAAAGTAAAGGAAATAAAATATCATTGCATTTGGCTTCTCTCTACATAAAGAAAATTTTGAAGGATACAGTTTTTGAAAAATTCTAGAAAGAAACACAAACAACTAAAAGTGGTGATTACGTGTTTGTGGGAGAGGGAAAATTTGCCCACCAGAAGAGAGATGGGAATGAGAAGTATTTTCACTGTATACTTTTCTACGTGTGAATACATTTTTGGTCTATATGCATATATGCATATCTCACCTTATACATAGAGTAAACTGAAAACAAAAAAGTAAAAACAAACAAAATCCAGTATATGCTCCCTATCTCAAAGAATATTTGATATTTAGGGATTGCTAGTAAAATGAACATAAATGTGTATTTCCCCATCAGAATGGAACCACCAGAAATAAACAGATCTATCAAATGAGAGAGAACTCAACCTCAGCCTGAAGCAAAGTAATAGGAAGAGGCAGAACTGTTACAGTTAGCCCTCGACCTGGGAAACTGGAGGGACATGTAGGCAAAGATCCAAGGCTTAGAAATACGGTGACACATTGTGATGACTCTCACAATGGGGTTACGGGACTTTAGAGTTTCCTGGAATGTTTACCAATGGCCAGAGAAGTTAAGTCAGGATGAAAAAAAAAATACTGTTCCACATACCTAAACAAGCACACATAGTAAAATAATCCAAGGAACTGTAAGTAGGATAAAGTCAAAGAAATTCATACCTACACATATCATAATCAAACTATCAAAAGATAAAGAATCTTAAAGGCATCAAGAGAGAAGCAATGTATCACATATAAGGGAACTTCAACAAGATTAACAGCATATTTCTCATTAAAAACCATGGATATCAGAAATCAGTTGGATGACATATTCAAAGTGCTGAAAGAAAAAGACTGTCATGATAATATCGAAACTAGTATTCTAAGCCATCTTTACCACAGGATTAGAAGAGACAAAAATTTTGTTTCCTCCTGAAATGATCCATTCTAGGACTGGACATGTCTTATTAATTAAAAGTTCATGGTATGGCAGTGATTTTAGAGTTTGATGAATACTCATGTATTCTCCTATATTTCCCAGCCTCCCTTGAAGTCATGGAGGCCATTTAATAATTCTGGTCAATATACTGTGAGGGACAGTGATGTGTGTTGCTTCCAGACTGAGCTAGTGAAAGCTGCTGTATGACCCTTCAAGTCTGTCTCTCTTCCCTGTACTGTGGAGGCCTTGGAGGCCAGATGTTTCAAACTACATATCTGAAACACAGAGAAAGGTAGCCCAACACATATTCGACTTTATCTGACAAAATCAGTGTTATATTAAGCTCTGAGATTTGAGGTTTAATTAGCTGCTATAGCTTGAAGTTTGACTCCTCCAAACCACATGTTAAAATGTGATCTCCAATGTTGGACATAGGGCCTAATGGGAGGTATCTGGGTCCCTGCAGCAGACCCCTCATGAATGTCTCAAGGTGCTATCCTTGAGACAATGACAGCATTCTCGCTCTATTAGTTCCCATGAGAGCTGGTTGTTAAAAAGAGCCTGGGATCTCCCTCCCCTCTCACTTGCTTCATCTTTTGCCATGTGATCTCTACACATATTGGCTCCTCTTCACTTTTCACCATGAGTGGAAACAGCCTGACGCTCACACCAGAGGCAGATGCTGGCACCATGCTTCCTGTACAGCCTATAGAACTGTGAGCCAAATATACCTCTTTCGAAAAATAAATTACTTAGTCTCAGGTATTCTTTTATAGCAACATAAATGAACTACGATAATAGCTATCACCAGAATCATAGCTTGTCCTAACCAGTACAATTTCTCAAAGGAACAAACTAACAATGAATTGGAATTAATTTCTACTCAACCATTGATTTCTAGAATAAAGAACAATTCTCCTTTTTGCAGGACCATTCTTCAAATACTTAAAGACCGTTTCTCCTTAGTTTTCTTCTTCCCATTAACCTCATTCCTCAATAACGAGCCTACTAGTAGGGTACTCTCCTATTTTAATTTAGTCAAACTCTGATATCTGGGAAGGCAAATTATCAAACTTTACTGACACAAAGCTCTAAGGCAATACAAATACTTCTCTGGCACTCTGTTCTCTTTAACACTAACGAGAATGAATTTGTCACCAGTGTGGATGGCCTTTAACATTTTTTTCACAGGCTTCTCAGAGTAGGCCCCATCATAACTACATCTCTTCTGATAAACAATACTCAAAACTCTTTCCAAGGGATGGTTCAAAAGCAGTGTCAATGTTCGCAGCAGAATCATGGCCCTACCACTTAGTTGAAAAGCAGTGGCAATGCCCACAGAAGAATGATGGCCCCATCACTCACAGTCCATGGCTGCATCTCTCATCAGGCCTTACTGTAATTCCTAAGGTAGAACCTTGCACCATCAGTATCCTCCCCTGAGGTGATGAAAATAGGCAGATATTTTCATTTCATTCATTCCCCCACCTTATAGAGGTAAGACTTGGCTAATTTAAAAAATACATAAGCAGGTAAATGTAAATTGTTTATTTTAGAGGTCATTAGTTGCTTTTCTGTGAAGCAACAAGAAATCTTACTGACCAAGCTAATTTTGTTATGTTATGTTAATATTGTATCAGTTCCATATTCTGTGTTTCATGGAATATCAAGATGCCAAACAACCGGATAAAACTGAGAACATAAATCACAACATCAGAGTTAGCAAGAGATGGGAGAATAAAATGGCTTGAATTACTAGGATGCAGAACTAAATGCTTGGAATGAAGCTAGTCTTACTATCTTTGATTTTATAAAATCCCCTGAACACTAAGAATGGTTTTATAACTTAGACAATGCCCTCGATGGAAAATGGATAAGGATGATTTCATACCCCGAGTGCCTGGTGGGCAGGAGCACTTGAAATGGTTCACAAGGTCAATACAGGTGCCTCCATTCTGGCAGGGCTGATTCTGGCACTCATCCACTTCATACTCACAGTTGACACCCTGATAGCCTGGGACACACTGCCATGAGGAAACAAAAAGGACAAGAAATACTGGACCATTACTGGAAACAGACCATGAGAGCAAGTGAGATCTGGAACATTTCTGTGACTCTCTCCCACCTCCCCACTTAGCTTTTGTATGTCTTCTCTGGAGCCATCACACTCTCTGCTAATCATTCTACGCAGGGACAGAAAACCCGCAGCTTACTGGCATTTACCTATTCCTCCTCCAGTTGAAAAAGGCACTTTAAAGGGAAGGCAAAGACTGAATACAATGAAGGATATTTCAGATTTGACTTGTGTGCAAACCTTTTGTTCCTCCCAGGTACAGGTTTCCTCATCTTTAAAATACACATTCCTCTGTATGTGATGAGGACCCTATGACTCAGTCAAAAGGCATATGTGGATGGTAGCACAGACATGCAATTATTGATCTCCAGGTTTAGGAAACTGCATGTATGTGTGAGAAAATGGTTGAGATACGGCTGGGGGTAAAGGGAGGTGGGTCTGGCTGGCTGTGGTGGCTATAGGGGTTGGAAGAATTTCAGGGCTGACCAAGAAAAAGGATATGGCTGTGAGGTGGCTTTATTTGGACACTTTGACAGGTTTGCATGTGGGAGAAGTCTCATATAGCATGAGACCTTCCAGAGGGGTAGGTGGGTAAGAGGAAGACAGCAAGTAAACTCTGGGAAAGAAGGATCAGAGAGGGAGTCTAGGTGATGTCACTCAGCAGCCAGTGGCAGGAATCTCTGGGTCAGAGAGCTCTAAAGGCCAGCATCAGTCTGGGGTCTGTATGGCCCCAGGGTTTATTTTGTCCTACTTATACTATGGCTAGCAGATTTTGGCTGCTGTTTTGCAGGCTATGCAAAGCAGGCAAGCTCTAAATAGTTAAAAATCTGCTTATTTGAGCGCTATGTTTAAAACAACTGGATGTGTCAAAATTTGGGTTTGGTACTGGCAGGCCTTTCAGCTAATGAGTCCCAGCCCGCTGTGAAGAAATAAACAACCCAGGGGCCAAAATACAGAAGCTATCATTGGCTCATTCATATAACAATAGAGAAGCAAAGCTTTTCTCAGTGTTGCTTGGTGGTTTGAACTGGTATCAAATTAATGTCTCAGACATTTTGCTAATATCTTGCTTGCTCTAACCATTATCAGCCCAGACATTAAAATAGTGACATGTCCCTTGAAGACACTTACTTCCTCCAATATGTACATGTAACATTGAGCATGATGCTATGGGGAACAGGATGAGCAACATTTTTTTTGAGAGAAAATTGCTAGTTGACTGATTAATGACTACATACAAAGGTGACAGGGGCCAAAGGAATACTCCACAAAGCAGTTTTTCCTATCTCAGCTGCTATTCAGGGAAGTGCGGACTGTTATGTTGGGTGAGCCTGTAAAATGTACTCTGGTAGTGACTCTTGGCTCCGAATCCTAAAAGCAAGCCTAAGGAGCTGGGATGGTTCCATACTAGGGACATGTTAACTTACTGCACAGAGAAGCTGAAAGAAACAGTGGTAAACACTATGATGGGGATTGGCAAAAATCTATAAACTATAAATATAAGATACAAGCAGCTAAATTCAATATATCAGTGCTCAAAACAGTTGTATGATCTCCTGGGAGGTCCATGACCTCTGCTTGTTCAGTGTCCTCACCTCGCATCTGTATCCACCAATGAAGTCACTGCACGTTGCCCCGTGCTGGCAGGGGTTGGACGCACACTCATCGAGCTGTTCCTCACAGTAGCTCCCAGTATAGCCCAGGGGGCACTGACAGTAATGTGTGTTGCCAGCATTGATGCAGACACCTGAGTGCTGGCACAAGTGTTCAACAAGCACACCTGGGAAACCCAGTGAGGAAGAAATGTCACAGAAGAACATGTGACACATGGGGTTCAAATCAACCAATGAGCAAGTAAACCTAAACTGGCTGACACATCAAATCTTATTCTTAGCCAGTTCTTCACAGACCTCAGTACCAGATGTATATTAAAAATAAACCCTGAAAGTGGAATATACCTTAGTTTCATTTCAAATACATTTCTTCCTGGAATGTCTGAACCTATTCCTCTACCCTTACATCTTCTATCTTGAGCCCTTTCCCCAGAGCCCTGCCCACCCACTACTATCTGCCCTTCCCTCTTATCTGACAAAAAATAATACCTGCTCTAAATGCCACTGGTCAGTCAATATTTCAGTGAATGACCTGAGTCCAAGGGAGCAAAGCTTACCTCTCCTGGAGGCTGCTATGTCACAAGAGACATTGGGCACGTCACAATAAGCACCAGCCCATCCAGATGGACATCGGCACCGGGACTCTGCTTTATCCTGAATGCAAGTACCTTTGTTTTTACATGGAGACCGACTGCAGAGGTTCACCAGGGTCTGAAACAGAGGCAGGGGTGTACATACATCAAAATACAAATACTAGAAATGAAGAAAAAGAAGTTCTATTGTGTTACAAGAAATCAAAGAAAAGCACACTGATTAAAAAGAAAAGGAGCCTTCATCTAGTAAAAGAGCCCTTAAACTAGATTCAGTGTTCTGAGGTACATCTAACCATTTTTACGTACCGTAAGTCTTCACTTAACGTCATCATTAGGTTCCTGGAAACTGCAACTTTAAGGACAACAATATATAATGAAACCAATTTTACCACAGTCTAATTGATATAAAAAAGAGTTAAGTTCCTATACTTATTTCTGGTTAAAAAAGTCACTAAACTTCAAATTAACACCCACTTCTAATATTAAACATTAAAATAAGCTATACATTCATTTAAGAAATATTAATAAAAACAAGTAAAATAATTATTTATCCAATTTTTGGTGAATCCGCGAGTAACGGTAGTCCTAGTGGTGGCAGGTCAAGTCAAGGAATAAATGTTTGCAAAGCAAAACTGTCAGCACCTCTTACCACCACACAGTTCAGAAAGCAACACTAACCAATATGGCAGGCTTGCTGGGTGGTTTTGTACCACATCGTTTATTGTTGTGCACCTGGTACGATTATCATAGGCTTTATGAGTTTTCATTTTACAATAATTGGCATATTCATTCATTTATTTTCTTTCTTTTTTTTTTTCTTTTGAGATGGAGTCTCACTCTGTCGCCCAGGCTGGAGTGCAATGGTGCAATCTTGGCTCACTGCAAGCTCCGCCTCCTGGGTTTATGCCATTCTCCTGCCTCAGCCTCCCGAGTAGCCGGGACTACAGGTGCCTACCACCACACCTGGCTAATTTTTTGTATTTTTAGTAGAGACGGGGTTTCACCGTGTTAGCCAGGATGGTCTCGATCTCCTGACCTCATGATCCACCACCTCAGCCTCCCAAAGTGCTGGGATTACAGGCGTGAGCCACGGTGCCTGGCCCCATTCATTTATTTTCTAACCCATTTATTCCAGTTCAGGTTCATGAGTGGCCAGAGCCTATTCTGGCACAATGGGACAATGTAGACATGTCCACTTCACCCAACATACATGGCTTTGAGTTGTGGGAAGAAACTAGAGTCCCTGGAGAAAACCCACACAGACATGGGGAGAACATGCAAACCCCACACAGACAGCAGCTCTGGCCAAAAACAGATTTTTTCCACCACTCAATGTTATAACAAAATGACGCCGAAGGAAACAAAGTTATTTGAGGGCCTGCTGCAGTCTAATTCCTCTTAGGTCTTCTATTTAAAAAGTTATTACCAAAAAAGTTTAAAAATTCAAGGAAGCCCAACAGGTTAAGCTATTCCCAATGCTCTAGACATGATTTGCCTACATGTATGGCCACCCCGCAGTGCTAGAAAGAAAGGGTTAAAGCTGTCAGACAGGTTCACACTTTCTGTGCTAATCCTGTGTGAGAAATCCACATGGGTCTTGACCAAATCTATCTTTGGTGAATATGGGTAAAAGGACTTAATGCCTGTTAATAAGCCTAAAACCGTTTAAGAGCTTATTTCTAAGGAAGGCAATCTGAGGCAAAGAGTGCACAAGGACTGGCACGTTTCATCTGAATTCACACATGGAGTGGCTTGGCCCCTTGAGGAGAGGAAGGCCAAATTCACAATATAGACTGTTTGCTGGAAGAAGGGAGGAGTGCTTCGTCAGCACTTCCAATTGACGCTATGAGAACAAATAGGAGCCCAACCAAAAATGCTCTCGGAATCCATGGAATCTGCAACAAGCCGCTTAATTCTGTGGAGGTGGGTGCTCCCTTGTCTAATATAGCCTAAGCCTTACTTAAGTGCGCCCTGTAAGTCAAGTTTGGCCATTTGTTCCTATGTTCTTTGGAGTTATTATTCTATCACTATTAAAGAGGTAGAATAACATAAAATTAAATACAGTGCTGTTTGGTATGCAGCTTTGGAAAAGTTACTTTGCCCCTCTGGGGCTCAGTTTTGCCTTCCATGAAATCAAAGGTTAGATTAGTTGCCTATAAGGGCTCTTTCCATCCTAAAATTTTATGGAAGTGTGTATTTACATATTTGAACTTAAAAGATATGTAAATCGTTTGGTTTTGAGAATGTTACCACATTGTAAGATATAACAATTATCATTATTACCCCCTTAGATGTTGCATCTGACCTTTAAAAGGGTATTTTGATTATTCTCTATTTTCTTCAGTTCTTTCTGTGCTTCCAATGTAAAACAAAACAAAACAAACAAACAAAAAAAAAAACAAACTGTGTTTATTTCCCACATGTATTTTTCTGCAGTTCGTGGTTAGCCTCTTTTCAAGATCTTACGTTTGTGAATCTATATCATATTGCCAGCACCATTTTGGAATCTGCAAGTTATTAAGAAGTTACCTAGATTATCTCAGGCACATCCCTGAGATCCACAATAGTCTCTTTTAGAAGGAACTTATTCAGACTAGAAAGTGAACAGGTATAATATTCAGCTGCTCTAGGGGAGCAGTTTGGTGAATGGGAAGGAAGTCAATTACCTGACAGTTTTTCCCAGTGTAGCCCAGGGGGCAGCTACAGTGGTAGGTACCCAGGCCATCAACACACGTTCCCTCATTCAGGCATGGATGAGAGCTGCATTCATTGATCTCATGGAGGCAGAAGAGTCCAGTGAAACCCACAGGGCACAAGCAAGAGAAGGAGTTAATCCCATCAACACATGTGCCACCATTGAAACAAGAGCTAAGAAGCAAACAGAGAGAGCAACATCAGCTATGCATCTGGTGCCTGTGACTTACTACTAGAAAGTAAGATTTCTGGAATCTAAGATGTTACAGAGGCAAATACCTCTGAGCAACCCATATCCCGTAAACTTTCTTACAAGCTAGATTGGGTGCCAGAAGCTCTGAGGTGCCCACTTCCTTTCTATAATCAAAGGCTCAGAAGTATTTAGAAGACTGAGCTTAGTATAGATACCTAGAGAAAGTGAAGTTTTCTAGGTTTTACCCAGTTCTTCTGTAGTTTTCCCATGTACCTCATTTCATTTTATCTCTAAGTCAATTTATTTGAAAAATCCTCTTCACTATAGATTATTTATAAAAGACAAATAGAACAAATATGTTCATGATATTATAAAAAGAAATGAAACAAAACTCCCAGAAATTTCTTAAAGACTGGTAACAATTCCAATCTCTGCAGAGAAAATGGAATTTTCGGATTTTTGAAATGAACAAGAGACCAAGGGAAGAACAGAACAGAATTATAGCTCTTTCTGTTCTCTAAGCAAGAAATAATAAACCATCCCTATAAACTTTGCAACCTCTGACCTTTAACTTTCTAACTACATATGTTTTTCAGGAACCAGTAACTGGGCAATAGGAGATGACTGTGGACTGGGATCCATGGGGACACCTCATCCCTGCTCCACAATTCTAGCACTGTGCTCTGAAGTTTCCTTCCCATTCTCCCTTTCTCTTGTAAGATGCTGATGCCCGAGTGATTGGTTGCTCACCTCTCAGTGCACTCATCGATGTTGTTCTCACAATGGACTCCATCAAATCCTGCCTGGCACTTGCAAGTGTAACTGTTGACGTAGTCAGAGCAGGTCCCTCCATTCTTACAGGGTTCACTTAGACACTCATTCATGTCTGTCTGGCACTTATCCCCAGTGAAACCCGGAAGGCAGAGGCAGGAGAAAGTATTCACTCCATCCACACAGGAACCTCCATTCTGGCAAGGATCTAAGCCATTACATAAGAATTAGAGCTCTGAAGAGTAGCATCAATTTAATCTTAGATTCATAAAAGTGAATGACCTGAACTAAGTCACGCCGAGGGCAGCATAATTCTGACTTTTTCATTGAATTCTGCCAACTCCCCCATTTATGAAAATCAATTCAGTAATACTTGCTTGAAGTTTTTAACCTGTTTGTTAATTGGAATAAACTTCATCTATATCACCACCAACAGTTTTGTAAAACCAATAGTCATAAAACTTGCATTGGTCCCTCACACATTTGCAAATCAAATATGTGCCCCAATACACAGAATATCAATCAATATTTTCAAAAGGTATATGTGATTGTGCAGTGTGTGGGGGAGGACAAAATACACATATTCATGTTTTTCCAGGCATATTAACTATATAAATTAATCTTCTCTCTCCCTTTCACTTCTGTCTCCTCTCTCTCTCTTTTTCTCTCTTTCAGATTTCAGTAGCCTTATGAAACAAAGTTTAAATAAAAATTGGAACACTTTATACTCATAGTAAGGAACCAACAAATTTTAAGCGACAGTCATGCCACGGCACTCTACAATCATATGGCATACAAATCAGAACAAGAAAAACAAGCTGTAGCTATGGCTCTTAAGGAACTTAAAAATATAATTGCAAAGATGGGTTATACATGTAAAATGAAAACTAAATACTAAACTAATGGGTAATGTGACCCTTATTTTATTAGAGAAACATTTAATATACCTCATTTATCTCTTGAACTAATTCCCTTATAAGACTCATCTGCAGTCTCTATTAAAAGCAATTGTAAAAATTGTTTCAGTTAAGAAAAAATTGTTTCTTAACCACAGTACACAGTTACTATAATTTCCATAGCATCTTTCAGGAAACTCACCATCCATAATTTACTGAATTATTTTAAACTCATTGTAAATACTGTTGGTTCCACTTCATATAGAAAAATTTAAAAATACTCAGTATTTTGAATGACATGTTACTCAATGTGAGAAAGAAATACAAAGAGCTTGATCTCACTCCCTAAAGTTCTCCATCAATTGTGCCTTGGATACATACTTTTTTACCATTTGTAATACATCATTAAAATTATTTGTCCATATGTCTGTTTTTTTTTTTTTTTTAAAGATGAAGTCTCACTCTGTTGCCTGGGCTGGAGGTGCTGTAGCAATCTTGGCTCACTGCAACCTCCACCTCCTGGGTTCATGAGATTCTCGTGTGTCAGCCTCCCGAGTAGCTGGGATTACAGATGTCCGCCACCACGCCTGGCTACTTTTTGTATTTCAGTTTCACCATGTTGGCCAGGCTGGTCTCAAACTGTATCTATATGTCTTTCTTCCCTAATAGACTATGAGCTTCATGAAAATAGAAACTAAAACTTATTTATCTTATCACTGCCAGCACTTAGCATGGTGGCCTCCCTATGATAATCTGAAGTTATATATCCTATAAATTAAGGTGCCATTATTAATGCATTGTGATAATCTCATTTGAAGTTTAATGACTTAATCATTACACAAGTAACTTAGGATTGGTCAGTACCTACGTAATAAAACTATTAAGGCTAGGGGAACAACCACCAGAAAGACGTAGGCAGTATAATCCCTATAGTTTTCATTGGGCTGCGAATAGCTCATGTTCATTCAATAACAATGAAAAAAACCATGTGGCAGTGAGTAGAGTCCCGAGGGACCCCTGTCTTAGTAGTGAGCCATATTAGCCCTCGACTAAAGACTATTTTGGAACCAATTAACAAACTTGAAGTAAGACTCTGAAGGATTGGACTATGTCCAAATAATTGAATATTTGAATAAAGTTCAAAAATGTTTTTTTAAAAAAGATTTTTAAGAAAATTCAGCATGGAACAATGTAAAATGGATGTCTAGCATCCAACAAAAAATTACCAGGCAGGCAAAGAAGCAGGAAATACAACTCAAAATGAGTAGAAAAAATTTGAACAGAAACATACTCAGGAGTTTCTTGTATGGTAGAAAAGTAGGTAAGGACAATAAAATATGGTCAATTATTATCAACTATAAAACGATGATACTCAATATGTTCAAGAAGGAAATAAAAGGATGAACATGACAAAGAGGGAGATAACATTAAAAGAAAGACTTGAACTAAACTTCTACCTATAAAAACATAATATCTGAGGGAAAAATATACTAAATAAGATTAACAGTAAACAAGAAACTATAGAGGAAACAATTAGTGAACTTGGAAGTATAACAAGATATCTTCAAATAATAAAATAATCCAAAATAAAACACTAAGTGGAAGAAACACTGAAAAATAAATGAATCAACCTTGCAGTCTAATAAATGCATAATGAACATTATAAAGGGGAGAGGCAAAAACTTTTGAAAAAAAAAAGGTTAAATATTTTCCAAATAATGGTTAAGTATTTTCCAGACCTGGACCCCTAACCAAAAATACAAGTAAACTCCAAACAGAAGAAACATAAAGAACACTACACTAACAGGCATTATAATCAAGTTGGTAAAAATCAGTGGAAAGAGGATATCTTAAAAGCAGCCACAGGAGAGATAATTATATATGAAGGAACAGATAAAAGAATTGTGGAATAACAGCAGATTTCTCCTCAGAAATAATGCAAGGTAGAAGATAATAGGATAGCTTTAAAGTGCTGAAAGAGTAAGTCAATTTAGAATTCTCTTCCCTGTGAAAATATCTTTGAAAACTAAAGCAAAATAAAAACCTTTCTGACACACAAAAACAGAAAGACTTCATCACCAGGAGACAAAGATTACACAAAATATTCAAGGGATTTTTTCAGACAGAAGGAAAATGATACCTGATGGAAACACAAATCTACATAAAAGAATAAAAACCAACAAGACTTGAAAATATGTGGGTAACTTAAAGACTTTTACATTATTTTTCAAATTTCTTGAAAAAATAATTTACCTTTTAATTATATATTTGGTGGGTTTAACGAGATATACATTTTAAAACAATAATACAAGAGAGGCCAGGAGGAATGCAAATGTGAGTGTACAGCTCTTCTCCTCTATATGAAGTTGCATGATTGAAGGTACATTATAACAAGTTAAAGTTGCACACCAGTAATCCCTACAATAACTACTAAAAAATATATAACGAATACAGTAGTGAATATAGATAAATTTTTGAAATTTATGTATGTAGATAACATATAATCATAAAAATATGCAATTATTTCAAAAGATGTCAGAAAAAGAGGAAAATGGAAACAATAAACAGAAAGAACAAAGATAAAGCAAACAGCAAGATGGCATATTTTGAAGCCAGCCATATAAAAAACTACATTAAATTTAAACAGTCTAAATACCTGAATTAAAAGATGGATATTGTCATATTGGAGAAAAAAGACAAGACCCAACATATGCTCTCTACAAGAAACCCATTTTAGAGAAATAGGTCAGAAGTAAAAGGATTTTTAAAAACACACTCTAATGATAAAATAAAGCTAGAGTAGCTATATCAATATCAGGCAAAGTAGACTTCAGAGAGAGAAATATGACAAGAGTTTAAAAAGACCATTTCAAAATGATAAATGGGTCAATTCCTCAAAAGGACATAAGAACCCTAAATATTTATAAGCACTTAATATTAGAGTTTCAAAATTCATTAAGCCAAAACAAATAGAATTACTAGAGAAACAGATGAATATACAATGATAGGAGAAGATTTCAATACTCTTGAATAAGAAATAAACAGAAAGCCTACTTACTATACTCTATGAATAATAAGTAGACAGAAAGTCATAGAGGACATAAAAGACCTGAATAACACTATTATCCAATTTGAATTAATAACATTTATAGAACACTCTATGAAAAAATCTGCAAAACAGACATTCTTTCCTCTCAAAGAAGAGACAAATTACCAATAATAGAAACATGAGAAGGAAATCGTCACAGATCTTGCAGACTATTAAAGCTCAGTAAGGAAATGTTACGAAACAAATTGATGTTATGTCAACAAATTTGACAAAACAGATGAACTGGAGGAATTCTTTGAAAGACAGATATTACCAAAGTTCAATTAAAAACAGATAGCCCATAAGGCAATATATGTATTAGGAAAACCAAACTTGTAGTTAAAAACTTTCCCAGAAAGAAGGTTCCATGTCTAGATATTTGGAAGAAAAGACACCAGTTCTACATAAATTCTCCCAGAAAATAGAAAGAAACACTTCCTGATATGTTCTATGAGGACAGCATTGCCCTCCTATCACAACCAGACAATGATAGTACAAGAAACCCTGGAGAACAATATCCTTCATGAACACAGATATAGAAATCCTTAACAACATTTTGGCAAATCAAATCCAATAATACATAAAAGGAATAATACATAATGCCCAAATGGAATATAGCCAATAAATTTAAGATTAGTTTAACATTTGCAAAATATTAAATAATAAAGTTGATGACAATTTACTTATATTAAAAGACCAAAAAATAATTTCACCATGTCAACAGACGTAGAGAAATCAACTGCACACCAAAAAATAAACATTCATTCATTATAAAAATACAAAAAGACCTCTTAACAAACCAGAAGTACAAGGTCTCTCAATTTGATAAAGAGCCTTTATGAAAACCTATAGGTAACATCTTACTTAATGGTAAAAGACTACATACTTTTCCCCCAGGATCAAAAACAAGGTAAGGCTGGCTTCTCTCACCACTTCTATTCTGCATTTATTGAAGATCTTAGTACGATATCACACAATATGTAAAAATTAACTCAAAATAGATCATAGGCCAAAATATAAGAGCTAAAATTATATGACTTTTAGAAGAAACCACAGTAGATAAACCTCGAGTTTGGATTAGGTGAAGATTTGTTAAACAAGAAATATGAAGCATGAACTATAAAGAAAAAACATGCATACACTGAATTTCATCAATGTTAACATCTTCATCTTCAAAAGAAATCAAAAGAGAAGCTATAAATTGGAGGGAAGTCGTTGGGAAGCAAATACCTGTCAAAGAATTCTTATCTAAAAATATAAAGAACTCTTTCAACTCAAGAAGACAAACCACCCAATTATTTCAAATGGGCAAAAGATTTAAATAGACATTTCACCAACGAAGATACGCAGATGGGCAAAAAGCACATGAAATGATGCTTAACATCATTGGCAAAGATAATAACACCAATTAATATCACAATGAAATACCACTACACACCAACTAGAAGAGCTAAATTTAAATGACTGATATCACCAAGAGTTTGTGAGCATATGGTTCAAATAGAACTTTCATACAATTCTGGTGAGAATGAAAATAGTATAACCACCTTGGAAAATATTTTGGCAATTTCTTAAAAAGTGAAACACACACTTAGCACATGATTCACCAATTCTACTCCTAGGTATTTACTCAAGAGAACTAAAATCATATGTCCACCCAAAGACTCATTCATAGCAACTTCATTTGTAATATCCCCAAATTGGAAAACACCCAAATGGCCATCAACCAGTGAACTGTAATATGTCCATACAATGGAATACCGTGCAACAATAAACTAGAATGTACTACTGGTATAAACAACATGGATGGATCTCAAATACTATGTTCATTAAAACAACTCAGAACTTCTCCTGACTTATGCTTATCTGATTGCATTTATATGGAATGATAAAAACTGCCAACTAATAATCTATAGTAACAGAAGGTAAACCTGTGGCTCCACAGGCAATAAAGAGAGAGAGAAGGTTAAATTGCAATGGGATGAAGATAATTTTAGGGTGATAAATATGTTTATTATTTTGGGTGATAGTTTCAGTTACCATATGTCAAAATGTGTCAAATTGTACACTAAAAATATCTGCAGTTTAATGTATATTAATTATACCTCAATAAATCTGTTTTTAAAAAAACACTATCATAGCATTGTCCTCACATTTTCAATGTTCACAAATTAAAGGGAATACTTAAAATATATTCTACTGCCTCAACTCCAAGACACTAGCTTCAAAAGAAAGAGTTAAAACACTACTGTTAAATATGCTGGATAAATGACCGGTATGCCCAATGTCAGGCATGAGTGGTGGCAGCCTCCACTGCGCTCTCCTCTGCTCCCTGTGTGCTTTCCTTTCTTCAGGGGGGCTTAAGAGCTGACTGGCATACTCACTGGCAAGGCAGTCATCGATGTCCTCCTCACAGTCCATACCACTGAAGCCTGGTGGACATTCACACATGTAGCTGCCCTGGGTGTTATGGCAGAGACCATGGTTCATGCAGGGCTTGGAGATACACTCGTCAATGTCAATGGTACACCTCTGACCTAGGAACACAAGGCCAATAAATGACCTAGTCCTTGGAAGGTGATTCCCACAAAAACCTATGCAGGACCTGAGCTTAAGTTGGGGTGCATGGAGCTATTCCACAAACTGGTTGGTCCCCTACTTTAGGAAGTTTCAGGAAGACTTCTGTGGCCTAGGAAGTTGCTGCCAAGGTGTTAAAACTCCCTGAAGAACGAACATCATGGCTTGAGAGTCTGCGGTAGCAGCCTTCCAGCCGCCAGGGGGCCCCAAAGACACGGACAATGGAAAGGCTTTCTAAGCCATTCCAATTAGCAGCTCCTATGCAAAACCTGTGTGCTCTTGACAAGACAGACAGGCCTCAGAAGACCAGCAGGGCCTTCCACATGATCTGATAACCTGACCACTTTGTTTAAAGCTCAGAAATGCATGTTCTTGGCTTCTCCACACCCATGTTGTTACCTTGCCAGCCAGGAGCACACAAGCAGGTGTAACTCTCAAAATTTGGTGACTCTTTGCAAACAGCAGCATTCTCACAAGGGTTTGGGGAACAGGGAGCCAATACTGTCTGACAGTTCTTGCCTGGAAAGTAAATGACAGAGTTTATGACACATAAACAGGTAAGAAAACGAAAAATTTCCCAAGTTGTATCCCAAGGATGTTCTCTGAATTTAAGTAAGAAGTCCTGATTAAGAGGCTTTGAAAATGGGGAAACCCATAGTCTTTTCAGCATTGGCTCCGATATTGCTAACTGTGTAACCTTGGGCAAGATAGTTAGGGACCTCCTACAACTGTGATTTTATGAACTAGGCCTGTTAAATGTAGTTTTCCTACATTACTATTTCTTTCTTTTTTTTTTTTTTTTTTGAGATGGATTCTCACTCTGTCACCCAGGCTGGAGTGCAGTGGCAAGATCTCAGCTTACTGCAACCCCCACCTTCCAGGTTCATGCCATTCTCCTGCCTCTGCCTCCCAAGTAGCTGGGACTACAGGTGCCTGCCACCACGCCTGGCTAATTTTTTATATTTTTTAGGAGAGACGGGATTTCACCACGTTAGCCAGGATGATTGCAATCTCCTGACCTCGTGATCTGCCCACCTTGGCCTCCCAAAGTGCTGGGATTACAGGGTGAGCCACCGCGCCCGGCCTACTATTTCTTCTAGAGGGGAAAAAGTAACAATGTGCTATCAAGTCTTTCAGGTAACACAGTCATGCTATGGTTATTCTGCTACTCTACACAACTTAGCGTCACTATCAACAGCTGCTATCAACAGCTGAAGACTCCAGGGAAGTAATAACTCAGCCATGCTCCTGACTGCATGCCGCAACCTGATGAAACAGACAGTTATTGTCTATGTTTGTGTTTTGTTCCCTCTGAATGAGGAAAATAGATGAAGAGGAGATAAACAAGCCATAGAAATATAACCAATCACAAGAAGGCAATAATAAGCCAGTAGAAAACAAAGAATAAATGTCCCAAGCACACTCCAAATGTAACACCTGAAACAAAGAACAGCTATGTGGCATGCAGTCACACTCACGTCTTCTCAGTTGTAACAGCCATCAAAGGGGTGACACCTCTGAGTGAGATGTAGCGGTACTGAATGTGGGAAGTAAAAAGGTCATTAAGAGGAAAAACTTCAGATTCAAAGAGACTTACAGGTAAATCCTAGATGTACCACTTACCTATACGACCTTGAGCAAGCAAGCTCCCTTTGCCTCAGCCTCCTCATGTGTAAAATGACAATAGGAACTTCTACATTGTAGAATTATTGAGGAATACATTAAATAATCCAAAGTACAAAAAGTGCCTGGCACATAGTAAATTACCAATAAATGGTAGCTGTATTATTGAAACTAAGACAAATAGCTAATGTCCTGGAAACGGTCAACTGATAGACAACCATCAGCTATGTGCCTGGTTCCAGTCACATACAATTAAAAATTTTTTTTCTTTCAAATACTTAAGTACAATGTAGGCAAATGACTGTCTACCACTTGCATCTTAGGAGGCCACAATGTTTCCTCAAAGCTCAAGATCCAGTCAGTAAGGGCAGGAAGGACAACTGAGGAGTGAGCCCTTGGAGCAGCACTGCAGCCCCACAGACCTGGGCACTCAGACTCAGGCACTGACAAAGCAAGGCCAAGTATCCCCTCTGGTCCCTGCTAGTACTTCCAGGACCCACCTGTGTATGGCAGCACACAGTGGCAAGTGTAGCCACTTATGTCATCAAAGCAGGTTCCTTGGTTCAAGCATGGATTTGAGGCACATTCATCAATATTCACCTGGCAGTTATAGCCTGTAGACAAAAGGGAAAAACCAAAAACAGTAAAACTTTCTGACAGTCTCATTATCTCAATTTCTAACCAATTCTCTTTGGGGGTAAAAACTGAACACACCAGAAAGTGCATTCCTTTCTTCAGGCCACTGAAATATCTGTTCATTCATTTCAGCCCCATGTCCCTGACATACAGTCAGTAAATGACAGCAGTCAATTAGTTGAAAAGATGTATGGAAAAACAGTCTGTTCTAACGGTCTGAAAGCCTAATGCCCCTCCAACTACAAATAACTTCTCAATAATGAAGTTCTTGGTTCAAAAGCTTGTTGCATGATCTATTTATTATTTATTTATTTTTGAGACAGGGGGTCTCACTCTGTCATTCAGGTTGGAATGCAGTTGTGTAATCATGGCTCACTGCAGCCTCGACCTCTTGGGCTCAGCAATCCTCCCACCTCAGCCTCCTGAGTAGCTAGAACCACAGGTGCATGCCATCATGCCCACTTGACTTTTTAAATTTCTTGTAGAGATGAGGTATCATTATGTTGCCCAGGTTGGTCTCAAACTTCTGGGGTCAAATGATCCTACCACCTCACCCTCCCAAAATGCTGGGATTACGGGTGTGAGCCATCACACCCAGCCAATAGCTTGCTGCATGATAAACATAAGCCCTTTGTATATAACATTTCTGGTCAGGAAAAGGGATGATGTTTTTGAATACTTTAATCAAAGCCTCTGGTTTACGCCCATTTTTTCATAGGCACAGTGTCTATCATCCATGTGGTACTTCCTGAAGTTACAAAGCTGTTTTCTCCTGATTCAAGGCATGAAACCTTCTCCCACTAAGAAAAGGATAAAAGGAGTAAAAGATTAGTGGAGATAGCACTGTACCCAAATACTGCACACCTTTGCATCTGCAATAGGGCCTGGCACAGAGCCTTAAAATAGAGAAACTATGGCACTGTGGAAAAGAAAACATGGTCTAGGAATGCAGAGGTATGGGTTCAAGGAGTATTCTGCTGCTCACTGGGCATATAACTTGGGATCTTACCTTTTGAATTTTATTTTGTTCACTGATAAGCAAGTCTCATAAGATAAAGAAATAAAAGTGTTTTGAAATCTACAAGTTTCTTTGCCAATGTAATACAATATATCAGAAAATTAATGGCTGAAATATGGTCTCAGAAAAGTTTCAAGTAATCAAATAAAGTGGCTCTAAAACATGCTGATGTATGACAACAGCATGGTACAATATTTGAGTGAGGAAATCAATGAATAAGTAGACAGATGAGTGCAAATATAATGATTTATCCACACAGGTCTCTTTTGTGAGTTTCCAAGAGAAAACTGATGGTAGAAATACAACAGTGATAACTCAGAAACAGAATTTACCCAACTCCCATGACTATACATTTGTTGGGTAGGCCAGCAGTCCCCCAACTTTTTTGGCACCAGGGACTGGTTTCGTGGAAAACAAATTTTTCCATGATCCGGGGTTGAGGGGATGGTTTTAGGATGATGATTCAAGCATATCCCATTTATTGTACACTTTATTTTTATTATTATAATATTACACTGTAATATATAATGAAATAGTTTTACAACTCATAATATAGTAGAATCTACATTATAATGTAGAATAGGTGGGAACCCTGAGCTTGTTTTCCTGCCACTAGACAGCCCCATCTGGAGGTGATGGGAGACAGTGACAGATCATCAGGCATTAGATTCTTATAAGGAGCACGCAACCTACATCCCCCACATATGCAGTTCACAACAGGGTTCGCACTCCAGTGAGAATCTAAGGCCACCACTGATCTGACAGAGGCAGAGCTCAGGCGGTAATGTGAGTGATGGGGAGTGGCTATAAATACAGATGAAGACTGGCCCCCTCGCCGGCTGCTCACCTCCTGCAGTGTGGCCTGGTTCCTAACAGGCCACGCACAGGTACTGGTCTGTAGCCTGAGGGTTGAGGACCGCCGGTGAAGACCAAAGATGACTAAGTAACTAAGAATATCTCAATGTGTTGAAAGAGTTCTGAACATGTGGATTCTTCCTTGATATTACTACTATCTTAATTACAGTAAGCATAGTATTTTCATTCTACTTTCATATATCTATTTGAACTATTATAGACTCAAACCTGGACCAGGCAGCTTATAATTGGACACTTGGCCAATGCTGTAAAACTGGAGTCTTAACTGTTCATCTCAAATATGACTATTTCAGGTCGGGTGTGGTGGCTCATGCCTGTAATCCCAGCACTTTGAGAGGCCGAGGGGGGCGGATCACCAGAGGTCAGGAGTTCGTGACCAGCCTGACCAATATGGAGAAACCCTGTCTCTACTAAAAATACAAAATTAGCTGGGTGTGGTGGCGCATGCCTGTAATCCCAGCTACTAGGGAGGCTGAGGCAGGAGAATCGCTTGAACACAGGAGGCGGAGCTTGCAGTGAGCCAAGATCACGTGCCATTGCACTCCAGCCTGGGCAACAAGAGCGAAACTCCATCTCAAAAAAAAAAAAAAAAGAAAAGAAAAGAAAAAGAAAAATTACTATTTCAATAGGTTACCTCACTGCTAGGCTGAAGGTAGAAATTGTATCTATTCATGTTTTATTTCCCAAGTGCCTTAGAAGTTCTAATTGTTCAATATGTTTGTTACATGAATGAATGAAAAGAGAAAAGGAAACTAAGAAGTGAGTCAAGCAGTATGCAACAAAAAGAAGACAGAGCACACACAGAAAGATGTACTTTTGTTTTCACCTTTAAAGCCCTTCTTGCAAGTACACCTGTATCCATTCACCAGATTGTCACAAGTTCCTCCATTCTGGCATGGATTAGAAAGACATTCATTTTTGTCCACTTCACAGTTGATGCCAACCCAGCCTGCATCACAGAGGCACTTATATCTGAAAGAAGACAAAACTTTTTACTATAGGAGGTATATAAATGTACAATTGAGTCATAGAGTGAAATACAGGACTTGGTGAAGAAATGGGGTAAACTGATCTCATTTCTACTTTCATGGAACTATCCTTGCATCACCTTGCACATGGTGTGTACCATGTGGCCCTATCAGGTGTATCCAGTAAAGAAACCTTCTTGGTGCTTTCCTGGCTCACCAAGTTAGTGAAATTACAATGAAATTTCTTATGTAAACAATGGTTTGTACAATATATTGGGCCACTCTGAAGGAAACAATATCATGGATAAATCTGCACAATGTATTTTATTATACATAAAACTAAAGTAAAGCAAACATTAAGATCATTAGTTTTTGGTGCAAAATAGATACCTAGGTTACTATCAGGGACCCTGAGCCACTCTAAGATGCTCCTGGGATATTTCATATCTTAGTCATGCTTTGTTCTGACCTGAAACTTGGCTTCAGAAAGCACCTAGGGTATTCTGCAAGAAAAGGCACAAGAATGAAGGTATTTGAAATGTAAATATAATCTCCAATTTGAACATCACTAACACCTAGAATGTGATATCAGGAAATGATAGCTTTCTTATCTGGAGAATTTTAAGAAAATGAGAGATGGATAAGGGTGCCTTGAAGGCTGCTATACTCTGAAACAGCAATACTGAGTTAATTCATTTTAAAATAACTATTTACTATTTACTTCTAAACACTTTATTCTTTCATCTTTCAAAGTTTGCAAAGGAAAATGTCCAAAGCCATATCCTATGGCAAACACAGCAAGAGTATAAGAGCGTCTCATGAGACCTAATGTCACTCTATGGTTCTAGAAAATCACTAACACATCACACAAGTCTGCGGGGCTTAAAAATTGCAAATGTTTTATCAGGGACATTTCTAAAGTTGGCTGAAGTGGACCTACTTCAGAGCACACACTGGCACTGTGACAGAACAGAGCTGAGCTATGTTTAAGCAGGGGAAAAAAAAAACAAAGGCTAGAACATTCTTCAGAAATCATTCCAATAATACATACTAAAAACATAATTGCCAAAGATTCACACAATGAGTCTGGGTTCCTCCCATGAGGTCCTTGCTAATGACCCATATAAGGGAGACATTCCTCCTTATGTTCCATCTAGGTCCTCACTTACGGAAGGGAGGTGCCAGCTTCCATGGATTAAGTGGTAATTCAGAAGGCTTTGATGCAGACTACCAAATCTTCAGCAAAGTTTCAGCTCAAGGTCCCATTTGACGACTTCAGGCTGTCACCAGTACTACAATCCAATTGGCTTAACACAGGTCAATAAGAAGCTATTACATGGGGCAGCTACTCACCCACTGAGACCTCCAGTACAGTTTCCATGGATGCAGGGATTACTCAGGCATTCGTTCACCTGTGAGTAGCAGCTGGGGTGATGGGGCCCCTCAGGGCATATACAGCGGAAACCATTCACACCGTTGATACATGTTGCACCCTTACGACAGGGATTGGAGGCACACTCATCGATGTCAATGTTACATCTCTGCCCTGTGGAGAAGGGGGACAGTGTTATTTACATCCTAAATGCTCAGGAAATAGACCCAGAACTATAAGACACATTATGTTTTCACCCTTCATCTGCTCAGGCCATAAGGTGTTTTGGGGCACCAAATGACAAGATGTAAGGAATTAGATACCCAATAACACTTAATGCCATGCAAAGAAGGAGCAAAGAGCATTGACTTTTGATAATCAAGGAAAGTTAACAAAAGGTTGGAAAAGTGTTATAGCAATTTGGTATTTTCTTTCAACTCAGAAATGGGGAAACTTTACCAGGTTCTAAGAAGAGAACTTCAAATGTCAGCAAAGAAGGCTTCTCTTTTTAATGCTGTCCTGAGTACAACTCAAAGAAGCATTCATTAACATGCTTTGTGCTGGTTTACCACAAATTCATTTTCTCAGTTAGCCTCTTACATTTCTATTTATGGTAAATCCAAATTAACTGGAATGCTTAATGAATGGGATAGTAACTTAATTCAATAATTAAACTGATTGTAAAGAAAAGCTATTTTGTTTTCATTCTTAGAGTCGTATTAATCCATTTTTTTAACCTCAGGAAGTAGAGTCTCAAGGTATAATTTTGTTGTCCTCTGATATTGGAGAAAATAATGCAGATTCCGTCACTTTAGACCTATGGTTCTTAAACTTTAATGTGTAAAATCAACACTTTAAGTTGTTATTTTAAGTGGAGATTCCTAGGCCCTATCACCATAGCTTGCGATGAACAGAATCTAGCAAACCATATTTTTAAAAATGTAGGTGGAGTAAAAACTAGATTTTGAGAAATTCTGTTCTAGACAATTATTACTTATCATCATATAATGCAGATACTGGGAGTAAGTGAAATTGAAGTGGATATGTTGTTCCTCTAAGACATAGCCAAGATTGCTCTTTAAAAAGACGTCTGTTATAACCTTGATATTTCTTAGGCTGAATAAAGTAACACGGGCAGTTATACAAGTGTTTCAATTTGCTACATTTTGAGTAACTGAGATTTAACTATAAATTCCAAAATGATATGAAATGTCAAAATTACCTATAATTCTATAAATGAGTGGGATCAAGCAACTGCTATGAATTTATAAATTTCAAAGAATACAATGTTCTGATTCAGATTTTGAAAACATGCATTTTTCTCATTTAAGAAAGAGCAATCCTGTATTTAGAACAGGACATTCCAGATGAAATAGATACCCACTCCTATGAAGTATGAGTATTCACATTTTTTCACCCTCCATTGCTCTCTAAACCATTATTCGTGGTTCTTGTGGTAAAAACCCATAATCTGGAAGTGGCTGCTGTTTTCCTCTTAAGTGTTTTATTAATAGCTTATTTTTAAATACTATTTCCTTGGCCTCAACCACTGGTTCTTTGAGATGTTTGTCAGTGGCACCAAAATATGAACCAGAGCTCTTCAACCACACAGTTAGCCTTGGCCTATAATATAGTGGAGGATGACAGGAAAAAGCCTTTCTCATTTTTGGCCTTTTCTTGGAAGCATCTCCTCAGAAGCCACTCCTCCCAAGTTTTCTTTGTTTGCTTTTAAACTCTTTGCAGAATAAATTTTCAAGCCATCTTTACCTGAAAGTGTTAAATGCATTCTACTATGTTGATTGACAGCTGTTCCATCAGCAAGGTCCTACCCTCAAGGAGTTTCCACTGAGCATCAGAAAAGTCCAGTGGAAGGCCAAGCAATTTGTTGGGCTAACTGAAATGAGAAGTTACCCAGTGTTTCTTCTGACTCAGGTACTCAGTAAATTGGTGCTTAATAAATGAAAACATGGTATAGTCCACACTTCAGAGTCTGGATTAGCTAGCAAAAGTGCTGTATTTGAGTCCCCTTCATTCGTTCATTCAGCAACATTCACTGAGTGTTTCCTGTGTGCTAGACATTGCTTTAGACACTTGCTATAAAGATGATTAAATGAGGTCTCCACCTTCTGGGAACTCACAGTCCTCACTATGCAAATCACTGGCAGGCCATGAGTATATACATCAAGGTCTGTCTCTCAGTTGCCTTATTTGTTAAATGGGGATAGTAGAACTTCCTTTCTGGATTGTTATGAGAATTCAGGAAGATAATGGGTATGAAGGTGCTTTGTAAAACTGAAAAGCAGTTTATAGAAGTATCACATAATTCCTTACCTTCCCCCATTTAAAAAGGTTCTAAGAGAACAGATAACTTAGTATTAAAACAAACAAAAAAAAATATCCTTTAAAGCTGTCAAAGCTATTGTTAGAATGATATGGGAAAAATATATTAAAACAAGAGCAAGAATAAAACTCCTTACATTTACCACTCATGAGTATATACCACAGTCATCTCTGACGTTTTCAGCAGCTCATTAAAAAAACCATCCCAGACACAGACAACAGTTCCATGAACAGGGGACCACCTAGTAACCAAAACATTCCATTTCTTGCTTATAAGGTTTCATGCTACACCTTAGGTTTATTTTAGAATATATTTAGCCTATGTTCTCCCTTCTTGACCTTTCTGGTTTGCTGAATGTTAATAAGACAAAGAATATGATTCATTGGCATTTTGAAAAAATGAGTCCAGTAGAAGCCTTACATAAACACACACACACACACACACTACAACAGGCCCCTAATCAGGATGTCCAGTGTTGTGGGAATGAGCATGGGCTCTGGGGTCAGATTGCCTGGGATATAATTCTGGCTGCTGTGCACTGGTAACATTACTTAACCTCTCTGTGTTCTCAGTTTCTTATAAATTCTGTAGGTATTCTCAACAGCAGTGACAATTGAGACTAGGCACATAGTGCCTAGTTCAAAATTAGTTCTTCATAAATGTTACCTATTCTCTTTGTATTACCCACTTATCAACAATGTGCCTATTATCCTATCTAGCAGGGATTTCTGTGTATTCACTTGACTGCCATTTGATCTTGGAGTCACAAGTTTCAGGATGCTGAACATCAGGCTACTACAGCAGCACTGGGCATTGGGCATGACAGTTTTCATCAGATTTGGCTTCTCAGTGATCTTTCACTGAACAGGGATCGCTGTGACCCATTTGGGCTGCAAACTTTCCTCTCTAATGTCCACAATCATACCAAATAGGAGAAATTCTTGTGAAATAGAGAACAAAGTACACTCCTGGCAAATGAATGGTGGACATTCACTTCGCTTTGCTCTGGCTTTTTGCAGACTCTATCAAAAACTTTGAAGGGTGTTTCACATTCGGGTACAAACAACCACATGGAAATTATTAAATGGTAACATGTTAGTGGCTGCTTCTGTGTGTCACTGTCCAGAAAGAACAGAATGTACAGTGTGTGCCTTCTGATGATGCCAATAAGAAACTCAGGTGTGTCAGTGAGGGGCCTCAGGTTTCTGCAGTAGTAGCCTCTAGCACTTTTTGATCAGGAGGGTAAAAGACAAAGTTAATATTAACAAATAGAAGATGTGTGTGTGTGTGTGTGTGTGCGCGCACGCGTGCGCATGTACACGCACATGTGTGTATGTGTAAATGCTTAGGCTGTTCATACTTTAAGAGGAGTTACATTCAAAATTCTTCTAGCTATTTACTTTCTTCCTCCTGGGCAGAAATATCTCTCTCATGCTACCCCAATTAGGGAGGTCTCCTCAAGCTCTGACCTCATCTAACAATATTTCAGAGAAGGAAGTACCCAGAAATAAGCATTCAGTATTTTCATAGAATTCTACCTTGAGTATGTCAAAGAGGAAGTACCCAGAAACAAGCATTCAGTGTTTTCATAAGATTTTACCTTGAATATGTCTTTATGGAAGGCCTTGACTACTACCTGTAGTCAATAAACATAGCTTTGGAAGCAATATAACTCAAGCAAAGCAAAGGCAATTTATGGTCTGTCTAGGAATTATTTTCTGGTAGCAATAAACATATAATCTAAAAACTCTAATTAATGAAAAGTATGTTTCAGTTTAGAAAAGGTCTGTGAACAGAAAACTGATCTAGAAAAGCAGAGAAACAGACTACTAACCTTCCAGAGAGACAAAGAAATAGGAAACACTTGAAAAGCAATATTCCTTTGGATGCTATATTCCCAAAGTGATAAGGCTGAAGGAGGGGCCTTGCAGTAAAAGGAGCTTTACCTGTGAATCCTGGTGAGCAGACACAACTGTAGCGATTAATGCCATCCATACAGATTCCATGGATACAAGGGTTACTTGCACAGTCATCAAAATTAATTTCACAATTAACCCCTGGAAGACAAAACCAAAGGGAAACCATTCAATATTACCACAGAAATACTAAGGCTTTCTGCTTGTGATGCAGCAACGTGTAAGAAATCTAAGGTGAATTCCAGCCAACCCCGGACAGAATAAAGCAGCAGTTCTCAAAATGTAGCCCACTCTTTCAGGAAGATATAGAGGTCCAAAGGATTTTATTAATCATACTTAGCCATCATCTTTCCTTTTCACCGTGCTAACATTCAAACTGATGGTGCAGAGGCAATGGGGTGAAATTGATCGCATCAGCATGAATCAAGGCAGTAGAACCAAACTGTACTATAATTATTCTACTGCTCACCTCCATGTGCCACAGTTAAACAAGCAAAAACACCAGTTTCACTCAAGAGTGGCTTTGTTGAGGAAGTTAAAATTAGAAACTTTATAATTTTAATAAATCTCGAACCTTGAGTAATGTCTACTACTCCATGTGATGAAATAGAAGTATACATAAAGCATTTCTGTGGCATGCCAAGTATGAAAGTTGTCTCCAGGAAGAGCTATACTGCTATTGTTTGAGCTGTGTGTTGAAATAGCTGCTTTCTTCATGAAACCACATTTTAATTGAAAGAGCAGCTGACAAGACAAACCAGGGTGAATCACAATTGAGTATTTAGCAAATATTAAGTGAAAGCAGCAAGCCTGTCATTTTGAGGAAAAGTAAATTAACAGTATTTTTGCCAAAGATAAAACTTAAGCTTTTGAATCAAAATTAGAATTTTGGAATTTTTATCTATCACAGTGAGCTTGACACTGCCTGTCAGTATTACAGGCTAAATTTCAGGATAAATCTTGAGTCTAGTAACTTCCTCCTGAGGTAAGCTGCCTTATTTTTGCTCTGCTGCCCAGATGAATGGAAGAGTTTCGTTATATTAACAGTATACAATCATTATTGCTACCATTATTTGTAAAGAGATATTTGTGAAATATATTTGTAATATATTTTGTAATATATTTGTAATATATTTCACAAATATCTTTTTACAAATAATGGTAAGGATATTTTTTATTTTTGTATGAATTAAGTGATGCTTTCTGAGTATCATACAATAATATTTTGGTAGTTTAAAAGGACTAAAAATAAAAACTGGTAATGAGAATAAAACAAAACAAAACACCCAGGATAAAAATGCCATACTTGTGATTCACTCATACTTTGTTTTTCTTTTTTTTTTTTTCAGAGACAGGGTCTTGATCTGTCACCCAGCCTGGAGTGCAATGACAAGAGCACAGCTCCCTGCAACCTCAATATCCCTGGCTCAAGCAATCCCCCACCTCAGCTTCCCGATTACAGGTGTGTGTACCACTTTACCTGGCTATTTTCTTTTTTTTTAAGAGATGAGGTTTTGCTATGTTGCCCACGCTGGTCTCAAACTCCCAGACTCAAGCAATCGTCCCACCTCGGCCTCCCAAAAGGTAAGGTATACACCTGTATGTATACTTCATACAGGTATGAGCCACTGTGCCCATACTCTGCAATAATGTTTATTAATAATAATTACTGAGGAACAGTTTATTGAGCTCTTACTATGTGCAAAGTACGCTGCTTTGCCTGTCACGTAAGTTTTCTCTAACCCTGTCACCCAACCTGCATATTAGTCTGTGTTACACCCATTTTATAGACAACAGGGCTGACATGCACAGTGCCACCATTAGGGCAGGAAAGCTGGGCTCTGTACCCTGTTTGTGTGGCTCCACAGCATCCTCTTTCTGCCACACTGTACTGTCATTCCGTGATTAATGAGGCTATGCTGCCTAACTAGCCATAAATGAGGGAAAGATTTCCATATTCCCCGCAGAGAAGTGGATATCTTTAGGAGATGTTTCTAACCTTTGACTGACAAACCCCCTTTACCCTCAAACCAAGACGGCAGCACCCCCTCCCAATGAAGCCCTGATGATCCAATGTGACTCTAGCCCCCTGTCCATTGTGTACTTGAGTAGGAAAAGACACCTGGATCAAGCCAGGCCAATGAGATTCTCTCATTACAACACTGAAACACAGACTGTGTGACCTCTGGTCTAAAAATGCCCAGTTTCCTGTTATTTTCTCCAAAGCCTTATTATTCAATTGCTTGGAATCTATAAGAGGCTCTGGGTGCTTTAGTTAAGCTCTGTTTCTTTGTTTTGTTGTTGTTTATTTTTTGTAAATGATGACTTAAGCTAGCTCAAGTTGGTCTGTTACTTGAAACACAAAGAAACTTACTTAAAACTTTACTATCATAAAAGCACAGATGAGAGAAGGCACTGAAAGTAACTCTGGGTAGTATATCTCACTTTAAGTACCCAGTGACTGACTACCACAATTTTAGCTGGCAAATTGTAAAATATTTCTTCCACCCACTCCCCTATCCGAACACCAAACTACCAACTTAGGCCATATAAGTGGAACAGGAATTCTTACTCTAGAACTTGAGACTATTCATAATGCCTCGTTTAATGGATTTTCCACCCAGGTCCCTGATACATGCCAGCTCTTTCTCCACCCATTACAGACCAACATTTTTTTAAATGTTGTCTGACTGTTGCTTGCTTTAATTCTCCAAATAACTGCAGGAATGTCTTTGGCAGGTTCTGACAGATTCTGGGCCTTCCTTTCCATGCTGCCTACAGATCACTCATATTGACTTCTCACCTTCTCAGTGACAGCTACTTACACCATACCCTCTCTGTCCTCCCCAGAAAACACCTGATATATCCTGATATAATGATATAATCCCAGAGAAAACAAAGTGCTTGCCAACCCACCACTCACCCAGGTTTCCAGTATGTTTACTATGATGGGAATGATAGCAAAGTCTAAAACAGCCCCTCCATTCTAAAGGCATCCAGTCAATTGCTTGTAAATCTCTCAAATTTCTTTTCCTACTATAATTTCTCATGTCTGAGGAACAGCCCGGAAGCAAATTGCTTTTGGAAGTTTTCACAAAGATCTATTCAACCCTTTTAGTGAGTTATCTAAATGGGGGAGGGAAAGGCATTTTCAGCTGTGACGGCATGGGATGTTTTTCGTATGCTTGAGCAATTCAAAAAGGACTTTGTTTTCAAACTTGGCATGTATGAAGTCTTGGATAAAGACCAGAGCCTTTGACAAGTTTGAAGAAATGGATTTGGAAACAATAAAAGAAAATGAGGGCAGCTAACTACCTTCTCCACCTCTGCTCTCTACATAGGTCATTTTCCTTACATCCAGAATGAGTTCTCAATAAATCACTCCTTTATATTGGCAGGTTTCCTTCTAACAAAGGCACACATTGGTTAATCTTCCACTAATACATTTTCCTTTGATCTGGAACATAAACTTCTCTGTCCATTAACCATAATTATGACCATGATCATTCATCTAATAAGTAAAACAGAACCATTCAAACCTGTGAGATGCTGCTCCCTGAGAAAATAATACCCCATTCCCCCAACAAGGAGCAGCATGTCCTCACGACCAACAAGGAGTCATTTAACCAAGGCCAGAGAACAATGATGAACTCTGAGGACAGGAAATGACAGCTCTGCGTTCTACTTTAGTTACTGTGGTGTGTTGCAAGGTATCTCCTCTTCCTTAGAATCCCCCACGATGGCTAAGGCCCCACCAGAAACAAGTGACTGAAGAAACATGACACACTAAAAAGACTGAACTGTGAAAGAGAAAATACACTGAAGGAAGGGAGGCAGGGCGGGAGGAAGGGAGGCAGGGCGGGAGTTAGGGAGGCAGGGCGGGAGGAAGGGAGGCAGGGCGGGAGGGAGGGAGGGAGGGAGGGAGGAAGGAAGGAGGGAGGGAGGAGGGAAGGAGGGAGGGAGGGAGGGGAGGGAGGGCAGGAAGGAAGGAAGGAAGGAAGGAAGGAAGGCAGGCAGGCAGGCAGGCAAGAAAGCAGGCAAGAAGGACTGAATTTATTAATCTGGGTGAGGTGGAACTTAAAGAAAAAAAGATAATATAGCCACAAAAAAGAGGGTTTTCAATTTTAAATAATTAATTTTAATTTTTGAAGTGGTATGCCTCTATTTAACAAAACACACACACAAAATCATCAGATTGGCAGAGCTATTGTCTCTGACTTCTCCACTGGCTAGGGCCATCTGCCTTGAGACATTTATGTTTGTAGCTTTGGCTGTGCTTCTCAGAATTAGGACTGTTTTTTAGGTATCTGAGCATATGCCAACCGTCTGAAACATCCGTGTAAATCGATCTGAGAAACAGTGAAAACCCCATACCAAACATAAACGGAGTGGGCTTACCTGATGTGCCCGGCTGGCAGTTGCACTGGTAGCCATTGACCAGGTCGATGCAGCGACCATCGTTCAGGCAAGGGCTGCTATAACATTCATCAATCTGGTCACTGCAGATGGCGCCCATGTACCCAGGATTGCAGATGCAGGTGTAGGAATCAATACCATCCTGACACTGACCATGGTGGCAAGGATCGGGGTCACAGTTGTCAATGTTCTCCTCACACAACACACCAGTGAAACCTTTGGAAATAATTTTATCAAGGATTCTCAAAAACCACGGCAGATACTCCACACCAGAACACAAGTGTAGCTACATCCATTTACTCTACACATTCCATGTGTGGTCAATTAATACTGCAGGTCTTGAGCGGTAGAAAATGACTATCTGCATTGATTTAGAAAGCATGCCTGGAGAGAGGTGCTTAAAATAAAGATTTCCAAATCAAATTTTAGAATTGAAATACGTTTGCAACTGATCAATAGTTTCATTGCAGAGATGCTTTAACTGCATCTTCATTTTTTATTAGGCTTCAGGTATAACAGCTCAAAACATTTTTCCTCTATATATTTATCTTTGTATTTCTTTCTTCCCAGCCCAATTTACAAGTTAATGATTTTATGTATCTTATGTTCCCAGTTCAGACTTTGGAGGTAAGAGAGCTTTATTTTACTCCTCTCAGCTCCTCGGACGGTATTATGCATATATAGTAGTTTTAAATAAATACTGGTTGAATAAAATGAATGAACCTGTTACGAGCATTTAAAAGAAAAAGAGACAAGAGTTCCTTTCTTTGAGGCTTAAATAGACAAACATTATATCTTTCCCTAGAAGACTCCAGGAGACCTCTCCCCACTTTTAAACCTGAGCTAAAGGTTTTTAATCCCTTTGAAACTTATCCTCTACAAGAAGAATCTGGCCAGGGAAAGACAAAATTTGGATTCTCCAACAAAGGGCAACTATTTGCAAAAAGAAAGAAAGTGGCTCATCTGAGTTGTCCTAACCTAAGTAGGTCTAATACTTGAAATATTAACTTTTTGTACTAATTTTCACAACTAAATTTGCTTTTCTGTGATCAGAAATAAATTATATGCATGATGCCTGTAATCTTTAAGACTCCATTCTCTAAAATTAGATGTCTTCAATTATATAAATAACTTCTTTCTCAAGCAGTCAGACGATAAAGAAGTTCACTTCTAATAATTTCTAACCTTTCTGTATAATATTGGCCTGTGTAAAAGGAAATGTGTAATAGGGAACATCTGGCTTACTGAAATCCAATCCCAAGTACAAAATGTGATTACAAACCCAGAAATGCAGAATATTTGTGCACAGATCGTTTTTGACTCTAGTTGCAGAAGTCAGCAAAGAGGACCCAAACTTTCCCAGTTAAAGCTTTCTCTCCTGTCATTTACACACTTGATTCTCAATCCTATTTGGTGTCTTTTATGCAGAATACCCCTGCAATTGTATACATTCAGCCTTTAAATTTCTGGGCCTTCTCTCAGTCACTTGCTTCAAGAAACACAGAACCAGGCCTCCTGTTGAGAAGCCCCAATGAAAAATAGCTTTCAACTGGAATTCTTCTCTTTCCTAAATGAGTAAATCTAGCCAGCTGGAAACTTACTGCTGCCAAAGTCTGTCCCAGAAAGACATGGATACCAAATGGAAATATCTGGGCCAGACCACTGTTGTGGTGGAGGAGGCAGGTGCTGTAGAAAAAGAGAGCAGCAAAAAATTTGCTAGAAGCAGCTCTTCCTAAACACAGAGGAGCCCCTGGGAGTGGACTGACCTGGTAGAGCAGCTAGCAGAGGACAGGGACAAACACCCTATTTTGTTCAGATGGACCTACCAAGGAGACGAAGAGTGAGAAGAATCTTACCTGTGGCACACTGGCATTCATAGCCATTTGGGTGATCGATACACTTTGCCCCATTCAGACACGGAGTACTGGAACAATCATCAATATCAATCTGGCAAACTGGCCCAGTAAAACCTCAAAAAGGGACAGTGGTAACATGAGTTGAAGGATTATCTTGCATCTTCCTTTACTATGAGAATGATGTCCAGGGAGGGGTGGGTTAGGTTACTGGCAGGGCTTATACCAATGGGTCAATAAGCCTATGCTTTATTATTCTCCCCAACAGGTAACTGGAATAACCAGGTGACACTCAGGGAATCAGAGGCAGTTGTGGTGTGTCTCCACCATTGCTTCTTCACAGACAGACTTCACTTATAAAGGAAGGATGTAGGAAGTGAAATTTATAGTTGGAAACGTCAAACGAGTAACTGTAGCTTCAGAGGCAACGGAAACCTTCTCTCTGAAGATACAATGGGGTAAGATGCAGTCTATGGAGGACAATTTGGCATATCTTCAAAAATAGCTTGAGGAAAAAAAAGGAGAGACACAGAATCCTGGAAAAATTGGCATGTGTTTTCTGTTCCTGAACTCATGGGTGAAATGTCTAAAAATAACAGTCTCACAGAGGGCCTTCAAGAATACGACCCATGGGAAAAAAACAAAATCCCGTATAGCCTACAACTAAGGCTTCTGTGAGGTATGAACATTCTGAAATATACACACAGACGAAAAGGTCATGGGCCATTCAAGAATAGACTTGGACTTCTGGCCACAAAGGATTTGTAAGATATAGTAGCTAAAACAAATTCTCTATTTCTGTACACACACACTCCTATCACCAAGCACTTACTCTAATGATTTCCTCATGCACAGCCCACACACGTTCTCTCCCTGCTTTCTTCCCTGTGGTCAGTTGGCTTTGTGCTTTAAGAGAAAACAGGGCCAGGTGGTGGGCACTTACCAGGAGGACACAGGCACTGGAAACGATTGACTTTATCCACACACTGCCCATTGTTCACACAAGGGTTGCTCTGACATTCATTTATTTCTAATTCACAATGCACACCTTTGAAACCTAAACAAAACAGACCACACAAGTGGCTTAAAGAGACAGAAAGGTGTATTCCAGACAAAGAAGCACAAATTTGCAATGATAACTACATTCTCTGCGAGTCCACACACTCCCGCAGAGAGAAAAGGAACTCTGCCATGATGAGAAATAGTCACTCCAAGGATCAAGCAGGACAGGGCATACTGTGAGATACCCATGTTACTGTGAAAAGCGGGAAGGGATTACTGTAAAAGACGTTGGCAAGACCTAGCATATAAACAAGGACTGCTCCACATTTTCTGTGATAAATCCATACTTCCTGGACTGTGGAAGGCCCAAAATGTCCCCACTCTATGTTCCCAAAGACAAGCCGAGCTGGAGCTGGTGTTGCCTTCAGGGTGCAGTTCAAGGTCAGGAGTGCCTTTCAAGGCTGAAGTAGCTGGCAGCCTTCATCAGGCAGAGCAGCCAATGTTAGCCATCATTTCAAGCTGGATTTGGCTGTATCCTCTGAAAATTAAAGACATGGTCTCTGCAGAAGAGCTCCAGAATACAACTAAACATGTACTGCACTTTAGCTAAATGGAAACTTCCTATATAATTGTGGATAAAATTTATTTCTATAAATGGAATGGTATGGTATTTATAATTACATGAAGGTATCAGAAAAACTTGCTATTTAAAGGATTCTTATAGTAAATCATTTTTGAAATTTTCTATTACATGTGGATTTTGATATAACAGGCTTGTTTAACTTGGTCTACATAGCTTGGTGAATTCTAGCACTGCCTTACTCTTTGAGGAAGGAAGGTTTGCTTGTGAACCCTGACTTCCTCTAGTCCCCAGTCAGCAAAGGAAATCAAATGCTGACAGAGCTCATCAGATTGCAATAGTATACTGAATGCTCTACCAAGAGAAGTTCAGAACAGTCCCTCCTCTCTAGACCCCACATGCTGATGGGCCCACTTACCTGGCATGCACAGACATGTGAAGCCTCCAATCTTATCCAGACAGGTAGCATCATTCTGGCAGGGATCTGAATGGCACTCATTGATGTCCATCTCACAACGAGGTCCTGCATAACCTTTCAGACACTCACAGTGGAAGGCGCCATCTGTGTTCACACATTTTCCTGCATGCTCACAAGGATTGCTATTGGCTGAAAGACACAAGTACCAATTACTGGGATCAAAGCACTTGAGTTTCCACAAATGTGAACAACAGAAGAAGATCTGATGGTTATAGCATCAGGGCCAGGCCTTTTATAATATCATTCCCAATATTCTTTTTTCCTTAATTTAAAAAGAAATAAAAGCAGAGTATCCTCAACTGTTAGGCATTTCTGCTATTGCAGTTTCTGCCCAAACTGTCATTGAGGTATGGCTTTATATTAAGAATCAAGTACATACCTTTCATACATTTAATCCCCAGAATGGAATATATGGTTATGGTTATGCTGAAAGGTCACCTGTAAACACCGGCCACATAGCAAGAGGAATCTGAGGTTTGGGTGTATGTAACTTGCTCCTACAGTAAAACGTGCTTCAGTTTAAACATTTGCTGAGCTCAACAAACACTTCACAGAATAGAAAAAGTTCTGGGTACTTACCCATGGCACACTCATCCACATCTTCTGTGCAGTCAGCCCCTTTGTAGCCTTGTGGGCAGGTGCAAATATACTGTCCATTTAGGGGGTTGGTGTCACACAGTGCCCCCTTGTGGCAAGGATTGCTGATGCAGGCATCATCCAGATGACACAGGAGACCTGTCACAGGGTGGCGCAAAGGAGAACTAAGAGAAAATATCTCTCACTTGGGGAAGAGCTTTCTCTTTACCCAGGAGGGAAAACCTCATGATCAGTTCCTCAGAAACCAACATAGAGATTTATAGGCAACTTCCGCTTTGCCTGACCTTACCCTGGGGACATGCTTGGCTACCAGCAAAGTACCTAGCTGCAACCCTAGACTCTGATCCTGAGCCCTCAGCTAGACCTCTCCTTCAGTGCAGAGACATCTACAGGCCAGAAAATAAGACGGAGATAGGGGCCGGGCGCGGTGGCTCACGCCTGTAATCCCAGCACTTTGGGAGGCCGAGGCGGGTGGATCACAAGGTCAAGAGATGGAGACCATCCTGGCTAACACAGTGAAACCCCGTCTCTACTAAAAATGCAAAAAATTAGCCGGGCGAGGTGGTGGGCACCTGTAGTCCCAGCTACTTGGGAGGCTGAGGCAGGAGAATGGCGTGAACCTGGGAGGCGGAGCTTGCAGTTGCGTCACTTCACTCCAACCTGGGTAACTAAGCAAGACTCCGTCTCAAAAAAAAAAAAGAAGACAGAGATAGGAAAATGGAGCGACCATCCAAATAGTGTGCCAGATTTAGCAAATAAAATAGAGGATGTCCAGTTGAATTTTAGATAAACAAGAAGTAACTTTTAGTATGTCTCAAATATTCCATATAGCCTATATTTTATCTGGAATCCTACTTCCCCAATATTATGCTACCTGACGATCATGGGGCCACCTGAACACCATCAGCCTCTACTAGAGTAACCTTTTAATAGCACCAACGTTCCTGATTCAGGTGGCCCCAGGTCTCTGAAGATATTACTAGGCTTCCTGTTTTATATAGTTCACATGGGAACTGGATTTTCCAGTCTGCAATTAACTTAAGAACAGGTAACTAAGGCTTCTTCCACAAAGCTGGAGCTAGGGCTTTTGGAAAGGCATCCATGAAAGAACATTTCAAAACTGCTGGGCAGAAAGTTCTCCCAGCTAAATTATCTTCTCCCATCACCTTCCTCCTTACATTGCTCTCCTTCTTCTAGAACTAGTAGCTGTTAAATTGAGAGGTGAGAGGAATGTTAACCTGGTAGCATGTAAAAATCTTCCCTGAGGGGAATATTTTCATAGACATTGAGGGTTAGAAGGCACTTAAATGTTTCTCTCCTGCCAACTTCTTCTGAGTAAATAGATGGTTTCTTCTTAAAATGAAGCCTGCGGATCCATTTCTTAGCCATTTTATCTTAATAGCTGAGGTGCTTTTCAGTCTAAGATCTTAAGGACTTCAGCAGATGCTCCAAAGACAATAGTTACTAACTTTCCTTTTTTGGAATGAAAAACTAAAGTATGAAGAGTTGAGAAGAGAGCCTAAAGTCCTAAGGAGGAAGACTATCTTCACAGCACTTTGGTTAGCAGGTTACATTTCTGGAACAGTCCTGAGTGATATGTTCCCACAGATGGTTAACTCAAAGAATACAGCTATTTGGGATGAAAGAGAAGGCAGAGTCCTGAATGCCCCCGCCCCTTCCCCGTTTCTAGCTCCGTCCTTCTGCTAACCTACCTGCCTTCCCCTCTGGGCACATGCAAGAGAAGGAGGCCACACGGTCGATGCAGGTGGAGCCTGGAGTACAGGAGGCGAAGGCACAATCATCAATGTTCTCACTGCAGTCATCTCCACTCCAGCCGTTGACACACACACAGCCATAGCCTCCATTGCGGTTGGCACAGGTGCCCCCATTCTGACAGGCATTGGGCTGCAGCAGGCATTCATCCACATCCTCTGTGCAGAACTGTCCTTTTAGGGGAAAATTACTTTTGATTAGAGCTCTTGAGTCTCAAAGGATTAGTACCATACCAGCCCCCACACACACTTCATCTTCAAGTGACCTGTCTGAAATTAAGGCAAGCAGAGCTCACAGAAGGCCAGGTCTTCACATGAATTTTAAGGCCAACTTGAGCCATCCAAATGACATTTATTCTAGGCAAATCATTTCAAGATGAATAGAATAGTTCCTACCGCTAGAAACTCTAACAACATGAGGGTTTAGCCAACCTATCAGAGAGAAGGTAAAACCTGTAGGACCCTTGAGTTAACTAATCCCTGGGTCAATGAACATATAAGTAAGAAGAGCAAGGAAAGAAGAGGATAAAAGATGAGTAAGAAAAAAAAAAGAAAAGGAACCTATATGCCAAACATTAGGGTAACTGTTCTATATCTTGACTGTATCAATGTCAATACCCTGCTTATAATATTATGCAACAGTTCCATAAGATGATGTTATCACTGGGAGACACTAGATAAAGGGTACAGGAAATCTTTCTGTATTAATTCTCATAACTGTGCAAAACTACAAGTATCTGAAAATAAAAAGTCTAATTTTTGAAAATGTTAGGGCAAGCAACATAGGGCAGAGAGAAGACATGAAAGATGTTGAAAATCTCTGATAAAGTATGGATGTGAAGGGCAAGGCCAAGAATAATGAGACTGGAGCAAGCTGTGCTCAGCCTGAGGCACTCCATACTTAAAGGATGGGGATTTGTGGAAGAAGACATGGAAAGTCCACCCAATGTACTAGGAGATGAAAAAAGGACTGGTATGCACTGCCTGAAAAAGACCACACTAAAGGAAGCTAAACATGAGCCCACATCTGGCTAGGTTGCAGGCCACCAACTATAGCAACAATGGAGACTAAGGCAAAGGCTCTTAAGTCCCTTAACAAAGAACAAGAGAATGTCTTCAACTTACAACCCAAGAATCTGTGGTTAACAAAAGCAGTATAGGGCCAGATCATATGAGCTATAAAATAAATTGGTGGTTGGTTTTATTTGAGGTCTTTTAAAAACAGTTTAGAGAGCTACCAAAGGAACTAAAATTTAGATCATCCGAATTCTCTAAAACATGGTAAGTTGTTGAAAATAAAAAAATGTCAAGGTGTCCTTCATTCTTCCTTTGTAAATAAAACTCAACAAATAATTTTAAAAGGCACTCTGATAAAGAGACCTCCTAATAAAAAAAAGAACACAGTATTTGCGCTTAGAAAATGCCAAGGCTATCTCCAGACTCGGAATACCTAGCAATTTGACTGGCTCATGTAACTGTAGAAGGCCTGTTAGCCATTATTACTCACAGATGCTAGTTGTATCTGACTTAACCTGACTGCCTGTTCTTTATTCCTATCTAACATGTACCTCCATTACTATAGAACCAATATCACTCTATCACACTTATTTGGTTGTACTTCTGTCTCCCACTACTTGGTTGCAGTTTAGAGGGGTTTTTTTTTTGTATTCCCAGCCAAGAGCCAATTGCCTAGGATGGCAGGATGGGTATGTGGATGTCTCTGGAACTCTGTGTTCAGCATAACCCTTCCATGCTCCTCTCCTAAGTCCAGCCATATAATTCTTGAAGAAGCAACCACGTCTTTACATGATCAAACCCTCCTGGCCATAGCTGACTGACCTAAGATGGGCATCTGATCCAAGCTACATCGCTGTATCTCTCCCAAATTATGGGAGTAGGACCACTTTGCCACATAGACCAAAAAGATGAGGAGGCTGGTCTGCAGAGAAAGTGATATGGGTGAATAAGCAGTGCACAGAGAGCCAGGCACAGTGGCTCACACCTGCAAACCCAACATTTTGGGAGGCCAAACAGGAAGATCACTTGAGCCCACAAGTTAAAAGACCAGCCTGCAGGCACTACTCGGAAGGCTGAAGTAGGAGAATCACTTGAGTCATGATCATGCCACTGCATCCCAGTCTGGGCAACAGAGCAAGACCCTATCTCAAAAAAAGAACAATAGAAAAGATGTGCACAAAGGGAAAAAAACACGGTGGCATTCAAGTTGTTGGTTCCAATTGTTACTGAAGCCCAACTACTAGTAAGCCTACTCAGTGGCATAGCCATTCTGAGAGATGCCCCTTGCAACAGGTCTTTCTAATTTGAAACGAGGTTGTGTCAACTGCAACCCAAAGTATTAACACAGAAAGAGTGAGTGAGGGATGAGGCAGTGAATGGGGGAGGTAATGAGGGAAATGAGGGAGGGAGAGGATGAATAAGAAAGAGAGAACACTGAGGTAGTGAGTGAGGGAGTGACTGAAAGGAGTGAGTGAGGGAGGCAGTGCGTGACAGAGTAAAAGATGGAGGGAGGTGAGAAAGGGAAGGAGGGAGTCAGTGAGTGAGTGAAGGAATCAGAGAGTGAAGGAGGGAGGGAGTGAGCACACTGGCAATAATCTCCCTCAGGGCAGATGATGTCATTTATTACAGAAACTCTGCTGTCTTATAGTGCTAGCAGAAATGGTACCTCAAAGTAATGAGAGCTGTGTTATTAGGATGCAGGTGGGATTGAGAAATGAAAACATGACCAAGAAGTAGGTGAAGAGTTACTGCAACATGAAAATTGCTGAGTCTCATCTATTATATTTATGCTAACTCAAATATCCACAATACCCACCAACCAAACTGACTTGCTGAATGTGAACAATTTAGATGTAATTTTCCTTTATTGAAGCTTTGTGATAATTTTGGGTACTGTAAGACACAATGTGTTTAAAGCTATTTTGTATACATTTCTTATGCACTATAATAAGCAGACACTGAAATAATGTAGCAAGACAAAGTAGGTAAATAAAGGAAAGGAAATGTGGCACTCTTGGGAAAGGAAACCAGTAGCCATTGACTGCCTACTGAGAAGCAAGCACTGTGCTTGGACTCTCATAAAAATTGTCTCATTTAAATCTCAGGACACAGTCTCAGAAAGGTAAAATAATGTGTCTTTGTAAGACAGTGAGTGGAGGACAGTTGAGATTTGAACTGGAGCTGCCTTACTCCAAAATTCTTAACAAAGACCTGAGGTGAGAATCTGACCATATCAAGCCATCTCTGCATGTCTTGGGCTTCCCAAGGGCACACAGGCATGGGGAAGTGGATGGGATGGAGGAGGTGAGGACTCATCATGACTCAAACAACTGGTTGCTGGAAACACTTGTGACTGCAAACTCCTGTCTAAAAGGGAAATGTATTTTTAGGTACAGTCCACTGTTTTTTGTTTTGTTTTGTTTTTTTCTGAAACGGAGTTTTGCTGTGTTGCCCAGGCTGGAGTGTGGTGGTGCGATCTTGGCTCACTGCAAACTCCACTTCCCAGGTTCACTCCATTCTCCTGCCTCAGTCTCCCGAGTAGCTGGGACTATAGGCGCCCGCCACCACGCCTGGATAATTTTTTGTATTTTTAGTAGAGACGGGGTTTCCCCGTCTTAGCCAGGATGGTCTCGATCTCCTGACCTTGTGATCTGCCCACCTCGGCCTCCCAAAGTGCTGGGATTACAGGTGTGAGCCACCATACCCGGCCAGTCCACTGGTTTTTGAATGAGACTGAATTTTGAAGATTACCTGTCTTCACTGAACACCTTTGGACCATGTATCTGTTTGACAGTGCTTGTTAGGGACAGGTAATTTAGAGATCCAAGAAGACACTGGCTTATAAGTAATTAGCTACTGGATGGATCACACTTCTCTAAGGTTCAGGCACATTTCTACAGATTCACATTTCCTCCTAGTCCCATTTCTGCCAGATTATTTTCTCCCTATTAAACTTCTATCAACTGGTTCTAAAATTCGGATTAGGAAGAACAGTAACCAGGATGGCCATAACACTTGCTTATTCTAAAATTCCCAGTGGAACATCTGCTACGACACAACAACTTGCTTCACGTCACCACCCTCCTGGCACAGGAAAAACCAGTGCAGAAGCCTAAAAATAAAAAACTTCAGGTTCAGGAAGGTAAAAAAAGGAAACAAAATCTTCCCAAGTTCACACGGTTGGTGAGTGAGAGTGCTGCACTGAAACCCGGATTGGTCTGACTGCAAATCTGATGCTCTTTGACTGCAGCAGAGTTGAGTATTCAGCCCTGGATGTGATCAACACAATCCACAGATGAGGTCCCTGATCCCAGGGTCTTATAGCACCCTGAGAAGGCACAGGTGCATAAGACAGTTAAGGAACACTCATATTAGAGAGGAATAAAGGCACAAGGTCACTAGATACTTGAGTGGTAAAAGTTCTTGGCGATCACCTAGAGGTCTTAAGTGTATGCTCTATGGTCACTGAGTTTATCCCACTGGCGCAAGAAAGCACCAACCTGGGCTGGTGGTTGAAGATTTACAGAGGAATACAGGATTAAGTCTTAAACATATTAAAATAACTGGAGTGTATTCTTTGGCTGGGGTTTTAAAAGAAGAAAAATTTGGAGGTCATTGAGGCTTTGAATTTGAGTATGAATTCAGAACTTGATACAACAAGTAAAGGAGGATGAGGAAAGACATGATCAATATTGTGTTTGAAGGTAAGTTGGCCAATAGAATATAGAAGGGATTAAAAGCAAATGAGTTTGTTAGTAGGGAAAGGAGGAGGGAGCACTAAGTTATAGGCTACCTAGCAAATAAAAGCCTTTGGTGAAACAGGAGAGCTGTATTGTTTCCATGTCCTACCAAGCTACTAAATCTTCAATACAAACAAGTGTCAGCATGTGTCATCACCTGTGTCAACATACAAACTTTGCTGGTGAACTCCCAAAATGTTGCACAAAGCTCAGTTAGGCAAGTTTTCAAGGGCAATGATTATCCCTCTCACTAATTTCCACCTGCCAGATATTGCAGGCTACTGTCATTTTTTTAACATCAGGACTGAGGTAGAGAACCAGGCTCTTATTTCCTACGGGCAAAAGAGAAAGAAAACAACTTGTTTTTAAAAACTACCCTCTCTAATGCCACAATGACTCTGGAATAATCAGAAATGA